TCATATTCATATCAGAAGGGTTTTGTTGATATGATAGTAAGTCCAATGGTTAAGATCATGAGTCAATTGAAGCTAGACCACCGTGGAAAACCTGGAAGCACTGGACGGCCATTTCGTCCTATTATGAGACTCCTCAGTAATTAGACATTAACACCGTTGGATGCCAGCTCAGTGGTCTAGTGGTTAAGCGCTCGTGCGCGAGACTGGTAGATTCTGGGTTCAAATCTCGCGGGGGCGGGATCGTGGATGCGCACTGCTGAGGAGTCCCACAATAGAAAAAAACGGCCATCCAGTGCTTCCAGGTATTCCATGGTGGTTCAGCTTCAATTGAATCATGATCTCACCCATTGAGATTTTCTTATTCAATCAATTATGATACCTTATCTTTATATTTTGGTTTAAGCTGTTGTTTAATATCGAAAATCTTCATCCGACTGCAAATAATTCATTGTGTAGCTTATCATGAGCGAAATTATACGTGAGCTAATTGAATAGGAAGAAAATCCTTGTGAAGCATTAGAATTCATGACTAGTCTACCAAATAAGGAAACTGATTTCCTTTCATTTTCTTATCTAATCTACAAGTGTCCATAATATGTATTTGTTGACAATTTGATTAACATGTACGTTGTCATAGAACAGTACAAATGATCTAAAATGACGAATCTAGAATTATGGTACTCAGTTTTTAGAATCATACACAGCCTACTAAATCCCTACGTCTTCAAAGTTTACGAGCATACTATTTTAAATTTTTACTTCGAATTCTGTATATTCCTTGTCAAAGACTGTTAAAACATTCCATCTTCTGAAACTATGGACGGTAGTTGCTGATTTATATATTTTTACTACAGTTAGCGTTGATTACTTTCATTGATGTTTCTCTCCTACTTTTCAAACAAACATACACAAAATAGTTCAACTCACAAATAATATTATAAGAACAAACCAGTTTTCCTGTTTTACGACAGTATGAACACTAAATAATTAAGTTCCTTATTTCCATAAAAAAAAATTTGGATCTAATAATTCTTTGGATAGAAGATAGATTCTCCCAGAAAATTTCAAACAGTAGGATTATCCTAAGAAATGAATGTTTTTTGAAAGTTTATGTACTACCAGTTTAAACTGTTGCGCTTTTTGCATTCCAAATGACAAGTCATAGAATTTGATTTTACATTGAACATTGGTGACACTAATCATACCTACACTAAGAAATAAAAACATAAAAGGCGTTCAAACTATGATTCAAGGCTGTATACAGCATCAACTGGTTTAATAGTAAGATAAGTGGATATGTTATGACAAATGTCACTACATATATATACTTTTTGGTTGTGCATACGCGTATTTCATTTTGCTTCAAATAAATAAGCATGGTTTTTTTTCAACAAAGAACTCGGTTAATAGCCTATTGTCAGACTGAATATTTTAAGTAGTCGCAAACGTTTGGACTAAAAATAATGCGAATTAAGACGACACGTTATTTAGGGCCATGGGTCATCTAATCACAATTTACCAAAATTTAAAATATAAGACAGGATGCAGAATTTGGTGTTACGGAATGTTATATAGGAATATATCTGAGGAAAGTTGTAACAAGCTGATGACCAGATGAGGTTAGAATTTTCTCAGTCTAATGACTGTTTGTGTAATTTTCATGAGAATTTCACTTCATGTTTAGTAAGGGATAACTAACAATTCAGCTAAATATACCGGTTATGAAAATTGAAGTTAGTAAGATATTAACGAATTACAAGCAAAGATGGTGGCTAGTGTGGAATCCATCTCATTTGGGACTCGTTAGCTAGGTGTACCCGCGTCCTAGAGTTGATGTCCACTCCGGAACTCGAACCCAGTACTGTCCGCTTCAAGCACCATCATGTTATCCGCTTAGCCACTGAGTTCCGATAGCCACTGGTTTGTGCAGTGGGTTGAAGTTTAAATTGACTTGTCATTGTTTATTTGTATCTCCCCATTGTTGATGCCCATATGCCAATAAGCGACTGATCAGTCTCAGTCCTGAACAACAATGGAAAATACAAGTAAATAATACTAAGTGAATTTAATGACGAATCACGTTTAGATATAAACTTCATTGGCAAAAATGGAGATTGAGACAATGATTTCAGATCTCTAAGAGGTATTAAAATGAACTTTGATTTTATAAAATAGATTTCTGAGAAGTTTAGCATTGAAATACAAGGAAAAGTTGTTTAATGGGTAAGTTAAAAATAGAGCAGCCATACCGACCTAGTAATAAAGACTAATTGAAACAGTATTAGTTTGGTGAGTAGAATCACTAGTCGAAACGAGTTATATGTTAAAATTTTATGATGACATTAAAGTGTTAGCAAGAGACAATATTTCAAACTCATGAATTCACAAGTTTTTATACAAGACGAATGGATCAGCAAATATATGGGCCCTATAATTACGAAGGTACTGTCAATAAGATTAGCATAAGACATCTAATAAAATCAAAACTCAGATTTCACGAAAAGGATGTTCGGTTTTGTATGTTTATTTTAAAATAGTTAAGTTCTTTGTAACTAGCAAAGCATATTGTTATTTTGACAGGAGTCAGAGTATATATAAACTCCAACCTTTATCACAGATGAAAATTTAGTAGTGAGAAAGTTCTATCCTCTGTCGTTCAAAGGATTAGTGGGTTTAACCGAGGCTAAGCAAAATGGTACATCGAGTTTACTCCTATAAATGCTTACTGCGTCGGTAGGAATACTTTTAATTATGTTTATTGTCCATTAAAGTCTAAATTCTCGGATGGGACGACAGCGTAGACAAAATGTGTGATTAAGTAACAAATGAAGTGTTTGAATCACGGTTTTTTAAGTTTGATGAATGAATGAATTTGAGAAATCATTTTTCTTTATAATAATGTAATACATCAGTGTCACTATGATCTCTAAAAACAGTTCAAGACCGATACTATGATATCGGATGTTTCTGATCAACTGTAACCATCATCTATTAAATCAAATTGGTGATAGCAGAGGACTAAATACTGTTTCTCAAAAAATTCTCAGCATAAATAGTGTTTATAAGTTCTCGAGATTTATTTATGTTAGTGCGACAAAGAAATGTATTGACCGTTCAGTTCTCAATAACAAAGACACACTTTAGTGAAATTCAATGGGAAAAGACACTTCATAAACGGTCGACTCGAACAAAGATGCTTCTGGTTCTTTTATCAAACTGCTTGACAGTCGTAGGATTTATGCTATTTTCTAAAAAGTAGCAAAGATTCATTGTCTATAGTTTTTAGATTATTTCAGATGAATTTGGAAATCCTCCTGTGCTTTGTACTAACCTGGATATTTTTTAAATATAAGTATAAGGAAGAACCAAACATGTATGTTTACGAAGATATCAACAGAATAACATTGTAAACTCATAAGAAAATAACTTTATAGGCATTGCTGGGTGCACAAAGTTAAACCAATCTGTTCAACGTAAAACTTTTGAGGAATAAACTTCACTATAGTATTGTAATTTTAGATTATAGTAGTATTAAATAGTCATTTCGAATTACTTTAATTTCTCCATTTATTAAAGGAATATATTTTTAAAATAGAACTATTTAATTGGTTGGATATATTATGATAAGCTTACATGGTTCCTCAGACAGCACACAGTACTTTGATATCATTAGTAGTTTCTTACTCTCTGATACTGATTTCTTAAGTGATATTTTCAGTACAAAACCTAGTTATTGGTTGACAACTAATGTCATGTTTATATTTTTATTACTGACAGAAATTAACTTCAGTACTCTAGTTTTTAATTTGAGTGGTTGTATTCGATGATTCATGGTTGATTGACAGAATTCAGTTGACAGAGGTTTATAAATAAACAATATCCCACATCTAAATGTGATGCTTTCACGCAATCATTTACCTTAACAGTACTAAGAATCATCGAATCGCACGTTATTATTGAAAATAAGGTTTTCATTTGAATTTGAAAAGAATATATTTCTCGTCATTTTAGGGGTGTTGCAATCGTATGCAACAATAGAGTATCGAGTGAATGGCCTTTAATTACCATGTATTTATCAAACCATTAAAAACAAAAATGATAAATAATACAAGGAGTTCGACGCAGGCTGTCATTAGTTTACTGATTGTGACACTGAATATTGCGGATCCAAGTCTGATGAAATGTAAGATTTGCTAACTTTACAGATATATTTTGCTGCGAAATTCCATGATGTGAATAGCCTCGACTTAAAAATTATTGTTGATTGGTTGGGAAGATGAAATACTAAACCTCCTCCAACATGATACGGAACTATTTAAATTTGATGATTGAAGATAATCGTCAGGAAATCCTAGACTTTTGTGCTAGTTAGCACGTCAAAGGGGTACTGTCGATGCTCAAGGAAGTGGTGTGCCTCATAGAATTCGCCGGGCCTAGTAATATAAGACGTCACTTTTGAGCTGTAACTGGTCTGTAGGACTAAGATAATTCTCCTCAAGACTACAGATGCATCTTGTTAGTCGGTGCCAACTAATAGAAAACCCTGGTCTAGGGTTTCCTAGTGAGAACCTCGAATCATCTAGCACAACCTAGGCTGTTGGTTGTATTGAAACTTAATCTGTAAAATTTGATCAACTCGAAGGAATAAGCAAACAGGACATTACTATTGAAAAGTACTCAGCCAATGTAACCATTTAGCTTGATGACCACATTACAAACGCAGTTGGTAGGATCCATTCTACTCTTCAGTGATCAATAAGTATACGGATGCATATCTCAATCAGTCACTCGTCTTCATTTAATCAATGTGCACTGGAACGAATGATAGGACATAGTTGTAGAGCCAGTCTGATTAACAGAATATATATATTTTAACTACCACTAATCCACAGATGGTTGTTTCGTTTATCTAGCTCTAGCCTAAACATTTTTACATCCTCACTTCTATACCCATATCAGTATCAACCAACCTAATGGATTATTTTGAGAAAAAGCCAAAATGTGAAACAAAATACCTTCAATGTATTTCTTTATTACTGGCGTTAAAAATAATTATTTTTGTAGAATACTTTTTCACTCTACTATGTGTAACATTTATCAAACAGACCAATAAGGAAAAACTTGAGAGACAGAGAAAAAAGAAAGATAGGCAACTTGCCTGAGTGAAGTTAACAGAAACGATAAATGAGATAAACATGTGTGCAATTCAAAGTACACACAAAATACGATATATTTACTGCAAGGATGCTGATAATGATAACAGTAATAATAACAACAAAAATAAAGGCAATCTTATTTATACCGTAAATGGGATGATATATATATAAATTAATCAACAGAAGTAAATTTCCCAACATTCCTCTTCCCTACCACTAGTAACATGTGTTCACTTTATCTGCTTCATTGAATGACAATAAACATCTTACAATCTCAATGAAAAGGTGTTAGTTTTTCGTTCATTTCATTTTTACTGACTGGTTGTCTTACTCCAGAACCAAAAATTGGAAGAATAACGGAAGATAAGAAGTAACAAAGCATATAGACAATCACACACATTAAACAGAAGAAAGACTAAACAGAATTCAGCACTGAATATAACTATATCGAGAAATAAAATGATGTACTAGACAGATTATATATTTTATGATGGAATGCCGAGAATGAATGTCACAGGAGACGAGACCTGTGTACTTCACTTACTGAAGAAATTCTGGTGATCGAATAAAAAAGTGAAGAAAATTTCAAAAAGGATATTCTAGATTATCTATCTATGTATATAGATGTACGTCATCATACTTCAACAGAGTCATGTGAAACTCTCCTCAAAAGGATAACTGTTACAGAAATATAAAGTAAACCGAATATAACACATTTGTTGATTCTCTCTCAATTAGCGTTTCCCATAAAGTAGAACAACTTCTAAATTTTATGGATATTTTTCACAATAACAAAATGTTTAACATAAGATGAAATTAAACGAGTTTACTAAAAGCAACTTCGTATCATGAAATTAATTCAGAGAATAGGTTTGAAGTCAGCAAACGTAAGGATGAAGATAACGATTATTCTAGGCGTCCTTTCTGAGCACTAGTCAGATCCGTTGCAGTAAATTAAAGTTAATATGTGTATGTGTAAAGAAGCGCGCAAGCAAAAGCATCTAAATAGTCTGTAAATTTATCTTAAATTCGCAGTTTTTATTATTCCACCAGGGCCTGGAAGTTGTGTTTTACCCATTAAATCAAGATCCACTTGACGTGCTGCAAGCCTGCCCTCGTTAATTGCATGTACCACGAGAGATTGCCCACGTCGACAATCTGAAATTTCATAGAAACAATGGGAATGGAAAATTTATTAAAACAGTACATTTGATATTTCTTTTAACGATATAAATTATACAATGAATAATTCCTTATGACAAAATAAAGTGGATATATTCAGTTCATTATGGTGAAAGTGTTTCTCAAAAACTCGGAGGTCAGTTAAAATTCTGAATCGGAACAAAAGTCCAGAGAACTGTCATAAATTTTTACGCTTTACTGGTAAAACAATCCATCTGAAAGTCAAAGAAACATCGTATATAGCGCACATGTCTGAGGAGGTTGAAAGTTAGCACAGAATTATTGAGCCATTCAAATGTAAAAGTCTTAAGCATCCCCTTCAGTAATGGTCATTTCCATAAGAATTCATATAAGCTTTGAGGAAAAATACTCGTTAATAACACAATACTTCATTCTTGGAGTTTAGAGCATTACTTGTTCTACTTGTCTTAATTGCATTTTCAGAATGGGGTTTTGTGAAGATTTTAGTAATTTAATAGTTTAATTCATGAGTCGTTTAAAGCTAGACCACCATGGAAAACCTGAAAGCACTGAACAGCCGTTTCGTTCTAGTACGGGACGAAGTCCGCGTTCGCTACCGTGGATGCGCACTGCTGATGAGTTCCATGCTGGGGTGAAACGGCTATCCAGTGCTTTCAGGTTTTCCATGGTGGTTTAGTTTTAATCGCCTCATGAATTCAACTGTTAAATTATTTGTATTTTATGGAAAATAGTACACTGATGAACTAAATTCCTTAACTATTTTAGTAGTTCAGTCAAGATTGATGGGTCATAAATATCTAGATCAACTATATCACGTACTAGTGAATCAGATTTAATTAAGCTTACTTGAAATTTTGAACCAGTGTCATTCAGCATCCTGAATTATTATCAATTCCAAAATGAATTACATAGCTAATGATTGAACGTATAACTCATTTTATTCAGATAGCAACACCAAAGTAAAAATGACGATAATTTTTCGCTCAAATTCTATTTATTTTGATTTAGATTTAGTAGTTAAGTATTTCGATTTTGTTGTACCTTATCACTTTGTCTCATTTTCTAAACAGAAATTAATTTATTCAGACAAAATTTAGGAGAAAATAATTGAATTCACTAGTCATGTTTTTGTTTTCAATTTAGGTTTATGCTACGCAATGTATGTAAATGCGTGCAAGTATTTGTTTTGTTGATAAAGTTAGTTTTTTTTATAATAATGTTTTGATTATCATGAACAATATAAACTAGAATATGCTCCGTTATGTTTGTGACAAGTAAACTAAATATAACTGTGTGGTGTGGGTTACTTATATCCACGCAAGTAGTATATAACGGTGGTCAGGCATAGAATGTATGTCAGTAGAGGGTCTATGAGGAAAGAACGGGAACGGAATGCAATTGGTATGAAAATGCATGAACAATGAAATCTGAGACAATAGATTGATGTTTGCAACAGGAACAGTCAAGTTTGAGACGATGGATTGAAATTTTGCAGATTAACGATTTACTATGGTTCTCAGATTTTAGTGAGATGCTCTGTAATTTTGTCTCCACTCGTGTTCTTGTTGATTACAATTGTATTTGTTGACTTTTCGTAAATTTCTAACCACCCGGTAACTGATTCAAAAGTCACTTTACCATAGCACCGTTGTCATCAATAGTTTTTATTTATTTTCATAGGCATCTTTAAATCTTAGGCTATAACAATAAAAAAAACTCAATGTGATATTAACTGTTTAACATAATTAGGTTAACGACATCGCAATCGGTAGCGTTTAATGATTTTGGAAGAAACCTAAGTTCGTAAATCGATTTAATTAACTAATAGTAATCTGATTCCCAAAACTGCACGATTAAAAGATAATAAAGCAAATGTAAACCGCAACAATTTCTGATATCAGTAGCCAATTTACTTCACGATTATATGCAGTACACTCAAACCAGCTCTAAAGAGTTATTTGGTCGTTTATGTAGATGCACTTATACTACTTATCTAATAAGTTGGTTTTTCACTTGCAAAATAATAGGTCTCAAAGTATTTCTTTTTGAGTAGTATTTGCAACTTTTCTGTATAATAACAGTATGACAATGGCAGAAATTATCACTCGTTTTTATCTCAAAAAGGGAAACTGCCAAAATAAGAGCAGTTGAGTGTAAAGGGAATGGGTCAATGCAGAAGTAAGTGCTTTTGACTTATTGGTGAATAAACATATATGGGGATTTAGAGGAGTCATATGTTGCTTACCAAAATGATTAATTAGTCGATAAAAGTTCGCGCCCTCAGCTTTTTTTGTACACAACTTAAATCAAGTTCCTTAGACTGTATAACAATAATCTGTTTCATGTTTTATACAAATTCATTGAAATATTCTTCAAATTGCATCATATATCAAACGTTGCTTGGGTTGTGTAACATAACCAACAGTTTGCTTGACTCTCTTGTATTAAAACTCACTTCTCAACCTAGCATTGCCTTCTGAGCAATCTACGCACCTGGAAGTTATCGTAATGACGCCCAATTTGTAAAATATCACTTATTTTTTAGTGCAAATCCTTCTTAACCATGCAGGTAAATAAACAGGTGACATCTAAACGAGAATCAAATATTTCCGAAGCCCTATGAAAAAGTGAATGGTACGAAATATCAGAAGATTTCGTCAAAATGCTTAAATAACTCATTATTTTATCATAACCAGTACAAGTTTCTAAGTAGTAACAGTAGTGGACTGAATGAACTGTCATACTTCATTAATTTAAACCAAGCAATTGAAAACTAGCTACTGAGTATCACTTAACAGTATAAGGGTGAACATAAATAGTTCTTAAACGGAATGTTTATCACCAATGTGTTCATTTTATATTACTGTATTTTTCCTATAAGTTATGTTAGTGTAACTTTACTTCGAAAGTGTGTCTAACTGTAAAATTCTAAGGTTGGCACTTCTTTAAACTGTATTGGTACGTGAATACAAGTTCGTAGTTTGTCAATCAGTTCACAAATAAACTTTGAAATGATGAAATGTCTGTTGAAGCTGAAGAATTAAATTAAGTACAAAGTTGAATATTCTGGCTTATCAGGTATGATTTGGATTCTAGAAAAGTGAAGATAATAGATCACGGTAAGGTTATTTTTCTATAGCACAAAATAACTAGAATAGACTTAGAAATACTGGAACTCTTAAGAAAACGTATTATTTTTAAACTATAAGGATCTTTTGTGATTATAAATGATGTTACTAATAATATATGACTATTAAATTTTAGTTTGAATACAAATAAAACGTTGGACGTCTGAATGTAATTAAGGAGATCTCACTTACCTCCAGCAGCATAAACCTTAGGAATGCGTGTGGTGTATGGTTTATCGGGTAGAACTTGAATTACTGACTGACTAGTTAAACCTAGTTCAAATTCCTTGATTAATGTAGTTTCAGGTCCCATAAAGCCCATAGCCAGTAAGACCAAATCACATTCGAATGTTTCTTCAGAATCTTATGGAAAAAAAATTAAAAGAGAGAAGTTACATTTTTCAAAGTCTAGTTCATTGGTTGAGTTGGAATATTTCCATGATAATACTATAACTTGATAGATAAACATACTATTTAAGAACACTATTCATATCAATAAATCAACAACTTGCCATAAAATAGTCTTCGGAATTAAAGATAATATATTGACAAAAATCAAAGTGACCACTGATATTACTGGAGGTATAAACGCATCAGGATTGCCCAGGACAGGGTTGGATGGAGAATGCTGGTGAGCGGCCTATGCTCCTTCACGAGGAGTAACAGGCGTAAGTAAGTAAGTAATAAACGCATCACTGTTCCTCTTTAAAAAAAATACTTCAATGCCTTTTGAAATTTTTAATACATAAATCATGCACTTGACTTTGGTGTTTCAGATCGGTTATTTGTAAAGTGCACTAAGTTCCAAATCTAATTCATCAAACAAGTGTTATCTAACAATTAAAAAAATCTGAACCAGTGAAAATGTCTTTTGGTTAATTCAAAGGTAACATAACAAGTTATTCAACATAGTAATGGATCATTCAAGCAAAGAATTTGTTCTTTGACAAATCTTTATCTTTCATAGTTAAGATCATGAGTCAATTGAAGCTAGACCACCATGGAAAAGCTGAAAGCACTGGACGGCTGTTTCGTCCTACTGTGAGACTTCTCAGCACTGAACATCCACGATCCCGCCTCGCGAAATTCGAAACCCAGGACCTGTCAGTCTCGTGCGCGAGACTATATTATTGAAAATTCACATTTTTAAGTGAATTCACTACTTACACTATTATATTTAAGTTCTGGATTATATGAAAAGTTAACTGCTTAATTAAAATATATCATGTACGTAGTGTGCTTCATTCAGTTTTACTTAATACGTTCAAGTTCAAATTATTACGTTTTAATCTAGTTTTAGTTGATGCACAATCATGTAGTAATGTAGACGAATTTCGACGAATAGTAACTTTTGAACTGTGAAATTGTTTCTAAAGATGCAAAAATCAATGTGAATTTTCTAAAACATAGTGCAAACTAATCAATTAACCATGAACATGTATACTAAGATCTAATTTCTCTGTTAGGAAACGTTTCACTGATACCTGAGTATGTACCATTTCTGGGAGATAAAGTACGTATGTTCTTCGAATTAAACAAAATAGATAGTTATGACTTCAATAATTATCTGACAGTGATATTGTAAAACAAACTATGAAATTTACTTGGTACTTCATTCATTAACCACTTCCCGGTACTTGATTTGGTCCATGCAACTTTAGTAGTACGTATCCCGCCTACTGATCCTTTCCCGTTGTCTAGAAATTCTTTAGTTATTGTATTAAATTGTCTTGGGTCCCCGTTTATACGAACAGCAACTTCTGAGTGCCCATAATCTACTCTCCATATGCGAGGCCATTCAGGCCATGGGTTTTCATTAATATCACGATTAATTGGTGGTGGTGGGAGAATCTCAAACACACGAATATTTTCAGCTCCCTGGGGAATAAATATTTAACATAAGACTTATAAGAAAATAAGAAATGCATTATTTGGTTAACAAGTTATCGTTCGAGCTAAGAGTGCTTAATACACTTATAATTTCGACTTTAAAACAAATCAATACGGTTGTATTCTAAGGATTATCAAAACAGTACATCAGCATCCCATGATGTAAATAATTTGCATTTCGCTGAATTTAAAAAAAAATTAATTTCCAAGTGAAAGTTCATATCATCCAGTACTTTTGTGGATATCTATGCTTATTTTAAAGTTACTGAGTACTAAAATATAACTCTCTTAATATAAAAATTTGACTTACTTGGCGTACAGATGTAGCAATACAATCAACACCTGTGTCACCCCCACCGAGTATAACTACACGTTTACCTTTGGCTAATGCAGCCACAGAATCACAATCAAAATTATTATCATTTTGAAGATCAAAATATGTATGCTTTATCTTATTCTTGTGTTGATAACGTTGCCAGCGTTCAAGGAAACTCATAGCAAAATGAATACCTTGAAGTTGACGACCTTAAAAATAGAAATTGTTTGAAAAATAAAAAATATTAATGTAAGATCATGATAGTAACATATTCTCAGAAAAAACTTCAGTTTATAACAATATCGGTGAATATCTAATTGTAAAGATCATATGCAATTTGAAAAAAGTTAGTGATTACTCTGAATTCTGATTTTTTCAAACATATTATAACCCCAGTGTCCAAATAAGAGTTCATATCACTAGATTTCCAACCATACTGTTTTAAAAAGTAGACTACTACCTGATTTCTCTCTTCAAAATGGTAATAGGTGTTCGGAACCTGTGACTAAAGTAAATGAATATGTTTAAACAACCAAATTATAACTCTTCGAATAATATTTTGTTAAATGCTCGAAAATCACTTCATTATTTGAAGCAGGTATATTCCACCTTAAACCTACTCTGGTAATATTGGCTTATTATTCAGAGTGATTAGGTTTCAAATTGTGTTCACATTATTATTATCCTTGTCTCCTCTCACCTTCCGTTTCCAGTCTAGTTGACCTTTTATGTTTTATATATAAATGTTCTTAATAAGTATATGTGTGATCAGATTGTTCGAAATGTATTGTGCTAATATATCACATAGCTCTGATAATCTTCGTCTTCTTATTACATTATCGATATTTCTAGTCATTAAATAACTTCTTTATTCTTGAAAATCAGTATTTATACCATTCATGTCAGTAATTTTAATGTTAATACAAACAGCTTATTTAATCGACTGAACTCATTCTTATTAAAGTAATTTCAGAAATAAAATCCGATTTTGATTTATTATAGACTTGATCAAATGTTCCATTGTTTTCACGTTAGATATCCAAGACAGCTATTAAGTTTATGATGGTCGAGGATAAAAAAATATTAGATTCTATCAACTAAATAAACACTTTGTCACCTTTAATAAAGCAGAAATTATAAATCATGTAAAAATAATTCTCCATTGTAACTTAATGGAGATTTGAACAATCACTATAATGTATTTCATCAATGTGATTAGTGATTCAACTCGCATATTCAGATCTCGTAGTGGCCAATTGTTCGACACTGTTCAACTCTACTAAACTGTTGATACTGAGTAACTGTCATTATATTAAATTGATGAAAAAAATTTTTCTACAGATTTTGCTTGATTGATAATGCAATCCGAGACTCGTCATTAAAATAGTTTCCTCTTATTCTTTTAAACTTACCCATATGTCATAGTTGAGTAAGATGGATTTTTCGGAAATAGTTCAAAATTGAAGTTAGATATCGATTATCCTAACTCGTCAGGGAAATATTATTAATGTCGACATTCAATCAAGGATTCTAAAGGTGACTTATGTACCTTTAACATCCTGATTAATTTGTTGTCAGCTTTAAAGAAACTGAATGGTAAAATTATCATCTTATTCACAGTAATTTACAAAATGATTACCTGGAATATTCAAATCCCGAGGCCAAGTGGCACCCAAACATAAAACTATTGCATCAAATTCATCCAGTAGTTTTCTAGCTGACCAAATGTTTTCACTATCTGCTGGATCGCGACAAACGGAATTTAAATCTCTGGGTTCTGAAGGTTGTCCATCATTACCGACCCGTGTATTTAACTCGAACTTAACGCCATTAGCTTTCATTAGATTTAATCGGCGATCTAGAACTTCACGGGAAAGTTTCATAGTTGGAATTCCATATCGTAGCAAACCACCAGGTAAGTTTCTTCGTTCGATTACTAGTACATCGTGTCCAACCTGTAAAAGCAGAAAATTAATTGTTACCATGATGAATAGCCTATTTACTGTGCAGTTGACTATTTTATGCTGTGTTTAAACCTATCATAATAATACAAAACAGTTTCATACTGTATATTTCGAATTCGCGCTCTTGATTGTATCTTGAAGAAGTTCTAGACTTATTGGGATTGGTATTACTTCGTTATATTATCTCAAATTGACATCTGGCGTCACGCTTACTTCTATAAATTTGTTGTTACAAAATGTTTACATTTATGAGTTCCGTCTTTAAGTTTCCCCAGTAAATGTGTTTGAACATTTAACATAAACTATGTTCAGCGGAAAAAGACTCAACGAATACACAGCTTAAAATTAAATCAAACTTTTTTGAACTAGGAAATAATTATTGCTTTTCCCATGTATTTACCTTATTTAGTTGATCTGCACAAGCTAAACCGGACGGACCACTACCAATAATTGCAATACGTTTACCAGTTGGCATACGATTCTCATCAGGAATAGGATGTAACCAGCCATTTTCCCAGGCTTTGTCTGCAATGGTACCTTCGATATGCTTTATAGTCACTGGATCAGAGTTTATACCAAGTACACAAGCACCTTCACAAGGTGCTGGGCATACACGACCTGTGAACTCAGGGAAGTTATTGGTTTGTGCTAAAGCAATATGAGCAGCGTGCCAATCACCCTGTATAGAGAAAAATCGTAAGAAACGTTTATTTTAACTCAACTAAATTTATGAAACCAAAAAAATGAAAATCGCTTTTAAAAACATTGATCAAATGAAAGAACAACATGACTTGAAACCAATAAACTGATTAAAATCCTACAGACTAAGCTCAGAAATATTTATGTTTTTTAAACTCACACCCCTGTTCGTTTATTAGAGGATTCAACTCTCAACCATATGATTTTGGGTTTGAAATACGCATCTTCCTCCCTTTTAGAAAGTTGGGATTAAAACTAACCAAGATACCTTAAGTGTGGCTCAAAGCCGAATCCATATACCTATAGTATTATTAATCACAAGCCTTCTGGATAAGGACTTGTAATAGAATCCTCAAGTACCCAGTTATTATACGATTCCTAATTTCCACTATCTTCAATATGCGTTTAAATCCTCATCTTCAGAAAAAACACGAGATATTCATGAATGGTGTTTACCGTATGTACCTCTATTGGAAGTTGTGCGGCCAGTCACTTTAGACATTTGCGATAAAATGAAGTGTAAGCTGTACACACCAGTGTGGTGATCCAGAAAACTTTTCACACAAGACAAGAAAGACTCAGGAAACACTAAGAAGCATTTGATCCAATCAGTATTCACTAGAAGTTTAGCCAGAAAATCAAGAAAGTGAAGTCACATGTAGAGTTTCTGATTAGCTTATTACTATACTGCTCCCATGTTTACTAGCATTCCAGAATTTTCGGGAAACCCAAGGACATCTAGAATATTATAAAAACCCTATATTTTCTGTACTAGAACGAACCTTTGGAGTAAAGTGCTTCTCGCATACTTTGCACCTTTTCTCTCTTGTTCAGGTCGCTGCGTAATTCTAGATTGGAGGTTACGAGAATACCTTAGGAAACGAATATAGCGTTCAATTAGCAAGACTTATCAGAAAGTATCTCACAGTTAATCTATACAAATAACTGAAACATATAGAACTGAAGATTTTCAACAAGAGATAAGAAATATGTGCATGAAAAATTTGTTTCGTCAGTGAGATAGGGTCCAGTCTTATTAGAAGTCTACAGTTATATCATTAAGATCAGTTTTTATTTAAGTAACGGAGCTGAAATAATGAAAATTAGGATCAATCAGCTTTGTACAACATAGAACCTGGCATATATAGGCAGCGGTTCTAGTTCCCAGTTCAGGAGACTATATTTTATAAGCGTTTTGACCAAACATGATTATGCCATCTGTGTATTTCAAGTCAGCAAGTAAATCTCCTGGTAGAAGTTCAACCCATAAAAAGTCAGACGATAGTGTTTCTGAAAGGATATTTTTGGTAAAGTTAAATGAAAACAGAGAAAGTGTACAACCCTGTTGAGGTTGACAACTCCAATGACAGTTCTCCATAAACTTTGACTCGATCATTATTTTTCTGGTAGAAAGCTAGTACAAGGTTGATATCTTTCTTTGGTACGCCTCCTAATAGAAGGGACTGCTACAGAACCTCTTGATCACCCAAGTCAAACGTGACCTTGAGGCCAGGGAATACAATCGCAGTCCAATATTGTAAGGCATGTCTACGTGACAGAACCTGACGAGGGGGGAGAATTTGGTGTAAGCATTCGCATCTGGGTCTAAAACCTGTTTGGCTTTCTTGGGTTCGCCCTTCACGAGCCCTAGTTAGGCATCGGATTATTATTGAGAATAATATTTTAGACAATACACTAGTCAAACTGATAGGGTAACTGTTATCGATGCCGATGAATTTCACTAAGGCGTTACATTGTTGGTGCACTGGTTTACATAAAATGTGAAGTGTTGTAAATTTTACAGGAAACATTTCCATTTATAATGCTAAGCCCTTGTATGGCCTAAAGCTCTTTACATGAAACTAGTATGACTCAAGAACAGGATATTTATGATGTGTTTTTTCAATAATATTAAAGGTAGAGAAATTATCTGAATGATGATTCTATTATCAAGTATAGAGATAAATTTATTTATAGGCTATTTAACAAACCTTAAATACTAAATCATTCCAGTTTGGAATAAGATTGCCAAGAGGACACCCAACATATGATTGACAAAATGGCACGCCACAATCCATACAGCGAGCAGCCTGTTTGACCAAACCTTCGCGTATTTGTTTTAGAGCGTAGACTTCTTCCCAGTCTTTCAGACGTTCTTCAACTGGACGATAATTTTGCTTCTGTCTGGCATATTTGACAAAGCCACGCACTTTATCTAGTTTCTCTGCTGGCTCATCACCAATTACATCTTCAATATCTTTAGTTTGTTTCTGATAATTACGACAGAAAATGGAAGAAATTAGTGAGCTAGAGAAAGCAGCACAATTCTCATGTACACAAAGTGGATATAAATAACTAGTAATACTGAAATGTAACACATAAATTTACAATTTGTAATAACTTACACAAAATTTCATACACCAGAATTTGATCTAAAGGTGTCAGTTACAAAATCATCAAATTACTTACATTAATTATTAATCAAAAATTTAATAACTGAATCATATTTCGAAAAGAGAACTTACAAATCCTTATTTCTTAACTCAATCGTTTTGATTTTTCCCGTCATCACCCTTGTTCGACAGGAGAATAAAACAACCAGAACTTGCATTCTCTTAAGAATAATTAATCCAATGTGTGTACAAAATATAAGCTATTTAAGAGTACGATTCAATATATTTATCTTGATTTTATCTCTACAGTAAGACCAACATGACAAATTTAAAACGGGGTCACGGATCTTCAGAAATCTTGAAGTTTATGATTGTTAATTAGAAACACGTATGACAAAACTTGCTATCATGATGCACTTGTAATTGATTGTATTTAGATTATTGCATCATAGTAATAAGAAATAATGCATGGAAGTTATTTATATCTAAGACTGAATCTTATATTTATCTAACACTCAATTACTTTTTACAACAACACAAAACTTGAGACACTTAGCGGTTATGATGACTTTTCAAGTTAACATTATCTAAATATGCCAAACTCTACATAGAAAAAAATTATAAGTGAAAGGTGTTTTTACTCCATGACCACTGACTTTGTTACTATCAACAATAGGACTAGTTTTTTGCACCTTGGGATCAGTAACAGTTGTGGAAGTTTTAAGTTTGGCCAATGCATTTCTATAATCACGTGGAAATACAAGTACAAAATGATTGATGGATTTATTCCAGTTTGCCAAAATATCTGCTCCGACCTATAAATGTATAACAAAAAGAACACTGTAGAACTTCATATACTGCAACAATTGATAACTGATGCTAAAATTCTAAAGTAAACGTTCTGACGCTTTATAGCAAGAAAAGATCAGTAGTGATGCTTATATTCATGTTGGTACTTAATATAATTAGCTTGACGGACTAGTCAAATGAGAAATATGAGAGTGAATTAATGAATTCAAAAATAATTTTACCAAACAGCACTCAGATCTGATGGTTCGAACATCTTATCTGAAACAATTAGCATATAAATAAGAATAAAGCGAAATTTTTAATGCTGAATTATTGGGTATAAATGACACTTTTTAATCATTAGTTTATTGATAACAAAGAGGTATGCCTTATATGTATCATAGCAGATATTTTATCGTTATCTATTTTTACATTCAAAAGATAAGATTGTTATTTATGTAAGTGGAGTTGAAAATGGGAACTGACGGTTCATTAACAAGCACTTTAGGTCCGCTTAAAATTTAAATACATTGGTGTAAAATTCTGTGTTCGAACTCAATTAACACAAGACTTTGGAAAGAAAAATGTCCACATCATATTTTTAGTGTCAGTGAAACCCAATCAAATGTGCCATACCACCTTCTAACATCACTCAAGTTAACCATTATTTCTAGAAATGCTTCTACAAGACTAACAGGAGATATATGTCAGCGACATACGAGGGTAATTCGCAGCGTATTAATAATCGAATTGTAAATAATGAAATTAAGATGAAAATGAATTACAGGTCTACAGCTAACGGTTCTGTTCTTCAAACCGATGTTGTTAAATTCTTAACATATGAAATTTTGATCCGATTTTCCATCCTTTTTCATTATCTTTTTGATCCAACCAAAAGTAATCTAGACAGTAATTTGGCTAACAAATAAGCATAAAGCACAATCAATTTCGTTAACCTCTGAAGATTGATTCATTTTGTCTAGTCACTTACTTTATCTACATAGTATCTCATACTTAACTAAGACATAAAATCTGTGAAAACAAGTTTTGTTATGTATGCTAAATACAAACATTATTGAACAATTAATGGTCCACCATCTGTAATTGAAAATTTCCATATACGATTATTCGTCATTAGGTAGATTGTGTTTTTTTAAAGTTTTCTCATTATTATTTAGCAAGTACGCTAGGTTTTAGATCGAATGAATGGAAATTTTAGACATATGATATACTTAGGCGCTTGATGTAAAACTGAAAAGTTTAAATACAGTCGTGACTAGTGAACTTTGAAAATAGCACATTACGAAGTGTTTTATGTTATTTGACTGAGAATCGTGTTGATATTCAGTGGATAGTAAAAACATTTATACGAATTTAGAAAGTTATATCACATAAAGTACATTCAAAGCAATTTACAAATGAAAATTTAGTTTTTACTGAAATATCACTGAGAAAATTATATGATCATTCAGCATGTAACTGATACCTTTGTCATTCAAATTCATAGGAGATTAAAGCAATCAGAATCGTTCGAAATACAGTAAGTGATAATCGACAATTGTTTTCTGCTGCGTCATGTTTCGTAAAGGAAGGCAGTAATGTCAATTGGGACAGTAATCTTTAAATTAGTCAGTTTGTGGGGGCTGGTACTATATCAAGCCCACATAGGCTATTCTAGCTTCAGGACAGACCAATCTATTCATTCTTCTCAAGTCATATTTTGACCTTGCCACTTATTCGCTTATTAACTCTGTATTTATATGATCGCATGTGAGTTAATTACTCACCTTATTCATTACATGTCTGTAACTTATTTTTGTCTGAATATCAATATTGAGTCACACATGATCAAAACGAGTTGACTCACTCGCCATCTCTGCTTCGCGTCGCCTTGTTTAGTTTCGCTTCCTTAGTTTCGTTTCTCTAATTGTCTGTTCGGATTAATGAGTGTAGGAAATATACGTATTCAAAATTCATTCTCGTATTAGGCTTATTTTGTTCCGTTATTCTTCAACGCGAGTTAAGTCGATAAAAAAACACGAGGGTTGGTGGCATGCATATTTCGATGATAATAATAATAATAAGCATACGATTTAACTGGAGTCAGATATAGGGCCAATAAACGTTGTCCCAGTATACTTTTTTTATTATGAGAAAATATGTATTAAGCGTTGAAATTAAAAGCTATTTCGATTAGAGTAAATATTAACTAGTTCAAACCAAGTTATTTGCTACGTAAAGAACACGTGATTTCCATTTCTGAAACATAACCGATTATAAAAACTAATAAATTTTTGGAAATATACACGAAACTGCATCCAATATATATATATATATATATATATATATATATATATATACCTAGGCAGGAGACGTGTTTGTCAAACGATGAACAAACATATATTTGCCTCTTTTTCAATTATTTCACTCTAGTTAATGGACAGAAATTCACGTGAATCTAATATCTTGTGCCTAATCTCTAGAGTTATATCATTCATTTTTGTCAAGTCCAAGTAACTTATCAATGACAATAAGTGTTTCAAACGTTTGGAGCTTCAACGTGTTTTCAAACAAAATGAAACAATTAATCTATCTTGTTCACTTCATGGACAATATCACCTTGACTTAGCTGTTAAAATATCATGATGACTGTCACAGGTGGATTTAAGCATCTCTGATCATTTAAGAGCCTTTTTAAACATATTAAATCGTTCCTACGAATCAAAGTTTATTTTTCTAGTTATGTTTCATGTAAATGATAATATTAGTACAGTCTTTACTTTCCTATAAGAAGTCAACAAAGGTGTACTATTGGTACTTTATTCTTTAGAATATTAAAAATTCTCGTCATAAATCTTTCTTGAGTCATGAATTAAATATGTTGAAGTTCTGAAGTAAGTAGCAAAAGATATAAACATGTCAGTATACGAGGTAATTCACGAAAAAATGAGGGACTGTGTGTCATTTTATATCATTGTATTATCTATTCTAAACATTCTAAGTTATCAACTTAATTATCTTTTGTGTGGTACCTAAAAAAACAGCAATTAGACATAAACAGTTCACATTATACGTGCAGTAATCTTGTTTAAAAAAATACATGTAGAAGTTTTACTTGTGAATCGGTTTCTTTTACAAATTCAACCAGTATTTCTTTAAGCCAACCACTGTATGTATTCTGTGAATTCATCAACTCCAAATCGATTAGTTCCATATTGCACTTTTTTACAAAATCTCCGTTCAACCCAAGTGGGTCATAAACAAAGGCTAGACCACCTGACATACCAGCAGCGAAATTACGTCCAGTACGTCCAAGTATAACAGCACGGCCTCCAGTCATATATTCACAACCATGATCACCAACACCTGCACGACCAAAAATGTTTTTAGCAAGTTAATGTTAATCAAATGACTAATTACATAATAATAATACTTGCCTCTATTGAATACCAATTCTAAATTGTTAGAATATATCGCTAACGCACCAGCTGTTTATAGGAATTCTTCATCTAAATATATGTAGTCTAAACAGTAAGCAGGTCAGTAAGTGACAAATGGTGGATGGATAATTACCAGTGTAAAAATGCGTTTCTCTTAGGGTTACTTTAAAAGTTTGGATGATACCACTAGCGGAGTCCCAAGCAGTGAAGAATCCCTTTTTCTCCAGCAATAGAAATAAAACCTCTTGACAGGCACTAGTAACTGCATATCCAATAGTAAATTGATTATGAAAGAAACTTCAGTGAGATGAGGTCATTAGGAGTAACAAATTTCTCAATATAACAAAAAAATTTTCACACCTAGGATAGAAGTTGATAAAATTTGTCCAATGTAGAAGAGAACCAAGTTAAAAGATCTTCACTTTGTTAGATTTGAAGTACATTAACTTTATGCCCCTCAAAATACTTCTCATCTTTTGTCAAAGGACAAAACTCATCTTCGTTTTCATTGTCTGACACACACGTGGAAGTTTTCAGAGATCAGGCTTCTCAGTAGCCTTGTAGTTCTATGGTTTACCGTTTATTCGTTGTCCCACTTTAGCTACATCATGATCACTTTTAATTTTGAAAGCGAAACGGCGAAAGACACAAGGTAAAGTGACTATGGAGGGTAATCTAGAGAGGTAACAACATTACAGGCTAGAAACCCGTAGAGTCACTGCTGAATATGAAGGGATACAATTAGTTATTATGCAGTCATTTATAGTATCAAAGATATGGTCACACATGACAAACCACTAAGATTAAAGAGATGTAAGTTCAAGTGTAAGTCAAATGTTCACAAAAGGATATTATCTACTGATGTATGGCTAGTTAACGTAAGACGTGATTGATCACTGGAGCATGGGAAGACAGACTGTCTACTTAATATGTAATTTTCCACTTGTAACTGTATTGGACAAAGTATTGTCCAATTTATATGCTGGTCCCTTATTTTTGGTAGTGAATCGTGTGCCTGATGTAATATGATCCAGTTTGTGTATAGCGTATAGATCGACTACCTAGCCTAGTGGTAGTAAAATTTCGATAGCCAGTAGTACCGTCGTATTATATTAGTATATCGTGGCAGACAGAAAATAATTTTATTTTACCGTTATATCAGTTTTCTATGTGCGTACCAATATCCAGTGGCAACAACTTCCCATGATCTTCAAGTATTTTAAAGTGGATTGAGTAGACATCCTATACTGTTTTACTATCTGCCATACTCTGTGGCTATGTTCTCGCTCTTAATTTTCGAATTATATACGCTTTAGCTACCTGTATAAAAATTATGAAATACGTCAGCATATTGTAAAAACAGCTGAAATGTACTTGAATCAATGGAAAATAACTGAAACTTGTGTTTTCGAGAAAGTTAGAAAGCTTTTTAAAAAACATAATGTTAGGAATTGACGTGAGTAAAACTCCAAATAAAAGTTAGGAGCTAGTATTTTAAAATTACATTTCGTTTTAGTTTACTTGGGAATCTTTGGTGTTTTAATTTACACTGAAACTCAGAGCTCTAAGAGTTAGAAATCATAAACAGAACTATCAGCAAAAATTAACATCTTGGAAACCTCTTTTAAAATCAGTTCTTGAATGATTAAATAATTGGTGAACCTACCCTCAACAACAACAGTAGCTCCGGAATTGCGTACGCAGAATCGTTCAGCTGCCTGTCCCCTTATAAAGAGACATCCTTCTATGGCACCATATAAGCAAACATTACCGACAATTAAATTATCTTCTGATTTAAATCTTTCTTTTAATAACTCTTTGGGTGGAACGATTGTAATCTTTCCACCTGATAAACCTTTCCCGACATAATCATTTCCATCGCCTTCCAGGCGAATATGAACGCCGTGAGCAAGGAAAGCTCCTAAACTCTGACCTGCACTGCCACTAACATTTACCTAGATTCATTTGGATGATGCGATGAAAAGACAAAGGTTATTAGAATTATCGCGTTATCCAAATTCGTCAAACGGGCTAACTGTTTTAAATTTCTAGATTCATTTGTTGAAAAAAATATGACGTCACTTAAATATTGTGAAATCCAATTTAGTGAAAACTTAGCAATTGGGTATAATTAGCACTACTTTCAAATTATACAGCGTCTACAACATTCCATATTAACATATATACAAGATGGGAATATATTCACTTATAAGCACAAGTCCCGTGAGATTGGTGAAGGAGCTTGACCAGTAGTTTTTCGAGATACTTTCCACTAAAATGGTGGACATTTGGTTCAGTACCCAAATGATCAAACATGACTAATTTTATGAGTGATAGTTCGTATTTTCTATCGTGGACTTTTTCAAGGGTTTTGGCTTTGCTATCGGTCGCTCATTCATTTATTTGATATCGTTTAAACTTTATTTATCAGATATCCTCATCGCCAATTTTTCTTTACCATACGCCATGTGATATACTCATAAATCTGTATATCAGTACATTTTTTTATAATTAGCATCAATTGTTGGTTATAAACAACCAGATATTTCTTACTAATATGCTCAAACTGTTGATCTACCAAGAGAATGGAGATTGATATGATGTGTACCAAAAGGTAAAAGTAATAATATTATAGTCGACCTCGTAGTAAGCACGGATTAGGAGGCGTGAATGAAACATAATTGTGTAAAATTCTGAATAAACGTTGGTATGGACTTCCACTATAACTTTAAAATGTAACTAAGTTAATACTTGACTGTGCTTGTGCTTTTTTACAATAGATTATTTTCTGAAAATGTGAATAACTTATTCTGTAACTGTGTGTTGATACAGAAAGGCTGATAAATTGGTAAAGTTTCTTTTGATAGATATCCTTAACACAGATGTTCCACCAGTTACATTGACACAACCTTCATTTTTATCCAAAACAATAATATAATAAATTCAATTTAGATTAATGATTTATACCATTACAACGACTTACTATAATCCGTCTATTACGCGGTAATCCTTTTTCAGCAAAACTGGTTGAAATGGCATAACTTAGTGTAGTGCCAACTGTGCGATCCGAATTACTAATTGATTCGGTCACATATACTACTGATTCAGAAGGACTGAGTTCCACATTTTCTGGAGTATCTATTAATTTATGAGCAGCGCGTAATATTATTATATCTAAACGACGATCAGCTGGCAAGAGATCGGCAAATGACAATGTTGTTGGATTTTCACGGAAATCTTTCACTGAATCACTTTGTCTTAATGAACCATAATGCACTTCATCTGGTTCCGTTTTAATCATTAAACGACTCAGGTCAAGCAGCTGAGATTTTGCAGTTAAACAAGGCTTTCTATGCTGTATTCAGAAATAGAGAACAAAAATTTGGGTTTAATCGGTTGAAAAATGAAAGTATTCTTTTTGAAATAAGCATCAAGCTGTCCTGCCAGTCAGTTATCGTGCATATAGCCAAATTGGTGTACAAATTTAGAATTTATTCAACTTAAGATTCTCCATAAACGAGTTTATTTTTAAAACGGTACATAATTTTGTGGCTGCGTAATGTCTATACAGATCCTTCAATTTCTTATCATTGTTTAGTACTATAAAAAGGCTTATTGACTTCGAATTCTTGATTATAGATTATAGTACAAAAACGTCGTTTCAACTTCTAGATCAATTATTCTAACCTTTTAACTAATAACTTCCATATATATATATATATATATATATATATATATATATATCCGTTTAAAGATCATCACATTAACCATTTTATTCTATTTTGTTTGACAATCCTAAATTCACACGCCATAAACGATGCACTTTACCCTTAACCTGGCCATTTTTCCGATTATTAATTTGGATATATAATTGTAGAACCTGAATAGAATTTATCGAAAAGAATATTCTTCGTTCAAATATACATATTCATTCATTCCGGATAGACATAGTTGCAAATTTCCCCACCGGAAAGCTCTGGAGGACAAGCTAAAATATCTACCAATATTTCGATATATTTAAGTCCTCGATTTTTAGGGTGAACGTTGCTTCAGAAAGCATTTATTACAGCATCAAGATTTTGAACTGATCTAAGGCTCTAACCTTGATGATAGAAACTATAGTTTTTAGTTGTTTTTTCAATTAGTCAACTAAAGCCTGTCTTCCTAAAGCTAATTTGAAATAAATATATTATTGTTGTGTAAAATAGTGACTATCAACTAGGTAGAATTGTGGAGGCTGTAGTTACACGTTCTTATCAATTGAAAAATCGTCGACTCTGACAATCATTGATTTTGTTTTATTTACAGCTGGAATAGATTATAACTCATTTACTTCTATCTCTTTTACTACTTGTGTATTTAGTGACTACACATCCTGGTTTCAGCCAGTTTACTAAGGTTACCAAGGTCTTGCTTTTAGTAGTTATTGGTTATGAATGTTTGGCGATGTGGTAAATTCGTTACTTAAAATATGTTGATTTAATGTTTAAAGTGATTTGGAAGTTTATCATTGTCGTTAACTGCATTTTTACAAAAATCACTTTTGTAGTTTAAGGCGTGATATTTGATATCATTTGGTTGGTTATGGTGAAACACGGATAACTCACTGCGTGGCTTTTAATTCCAGAATCTATATTATAAAACCTACCAGTTAGACACTATAATGCAACTATGGCTCTAAGTGGCTTTAAACTAGGATAATGGTTACTTTAAAATATATACAGTTTATCACATAAATAGCGTTTGTTCTGAGCTTCTCATTATTCTTCGAAGGAACAACCATTTTGAACAGTGAAGTAGAGCTACCCAACATAATGGCAACGCTCAGCATTCACATAATATGTCAGGGCGATTCTAATTCTTGAAAACATTCAAAAAGAATATTAAAACACATATGGTTAATTTACCTTTAGATATTCTGTACGTCCAACAATTTCTTTCAATGAAGATACACCTAAACGACTTAAGTATTGTCTAACCTCTTCAGCCAAAAGAAATAGGTAGTTGATGACATGTTCTGGGCTACCAGCGAATTTCTTTCGTAGAACTGGGTCTTGTGTGGCTATTCCCACTGGACAAGTATTCAAATGACATTTACGCATCATTGTACAACCTAATACAATAAGTGGTGCAGTTGACATTGCGAATTCATCAGCTCCCAGAATGCATGCTATGACCACATCTCGTCCTAGGGTGAAATATCGAACAAGGGATACAAATAATAATATTCATCTCATAACACAATTTATCAAGTAAGTAGCGAATGAAAATCAAAACTGATACATTAGGTCGCAGATAGAGTTAAATCAATGATTTGTTGATGCCAAATCTGATTTCTTTAACTAATTGGTCTGCAAAAATATATTAGCTAACCAATTTTTGATTTAATGATATTGTTTCTTGTCTGTAATTAGTATAAAAACTGTTTACGACCCTGGTACGGCCGAGGATGAGGAGAGTTAGCTCTCCCTCTCGAAATGTCCTCACATGATCCCGCGTATACAACCACTGTCAGGGAAGACCTACTCACTGCCTTCTCGTGGCAGAAGTGTTGTTTACGAAATTGAAAGGACAAAAAGAGAATGACCCACTCTTTAACCGGGTTGGTGGAAACGGAAGATCCACGTATGGGAGTTGGAAAACACTGATTCAAAACCAATGGTCATATGGGCTCCAGTATCCTGAGGGAACAGATGGCGTATGAACCAATCATTGGTCACCGGCTACCATGGGACTGCATCTCTTGACGTTGCTCCAATGCCTTGTGGATCAGACCTTTAGGTCAAAGGCTCGGGTTGTGACCCCCTAATAAAACCACCTGCTTTGGTCTGGGCACCCGGGCAGTATCACAGTCCACACACAAACCAAATGACTTATGTGGCGCATATGTATTCGATGTCCCTTTGTACCAATATTTATGTGTTTAAATAAATAAATAAACACTAGTATCTGGAAGGATAATATCTAGTCGATTAATAATTAAGCTATTTGAAGTTGTATTTCAAGGGAAAATATGTGATGTTGCAGGTCAATTTTTCAAATCCAATTTTGGATTAGACTACTTTAGATGATGGTGGCAACTATTTACTTGTAAAGTATTTGGATGTAGGGAGATCTATAATGTTAAGATAATCCAGTTGTCTGGTAGGTTTTAATATTTGTCATAAATTTAATTAATTTGAATCATTGAAATAAAAACAAAGCAATAAGCAGTTTAATTTAGTGGTGAAACGTTATGGTTGATTAAATTCAGCTACCCATGACACTGTCAGATCATTTACGTAAACCACTTAACCTAAGTATTTAATCATTAGTGTTTAATCATTATTAATACGCTTGACCAATTTGATTTTAATAAGTCAACCTGAATAGGTTAAATAAATGTTCTGTCCAATAATATTGGATTACCTTATTCAGAAACTAACAGAAATCAGATTTCCCATAAACTGCTTAAGTAATCAATGAAGCTACAGGCAAACTTGTTGAAAACTAATTGTGTTAAAAATTTGTGAACAGTATACGCCTCGTTATATTAAAACATCATGCTGGTTATGAAAGATTGTTCGTTATTCCTACCTGTGCGTATTTGTCCATCAACCTGTAGTTTCACTCGTGAACGCGCCTGTTGACTGGTTAGGGATTGATGAGTCTCTGCAATACCCAATTCCCATGGAAGTCCAGCATGTTTGATTCCTGTCCAACTACTAGCACCAGTACCACCATCATGACCAGAAATTGTTATATGTGCTGCGCGAGCCTAAAAAGTAATTTAACGTGAAATATGTGCCAATAACAAAGAAGTTAATTTTTCCTAAGTTTTTGAAAGTGGTATTATTACCTGATCATGTTTTTTAGCAATATGGTGATAAAAACACAAAAAGGTAGTCCGTCAGGTGTAACGAAGTCAATGGATCACGTATGGTCTTGTCGTAAGTTTTCAGTTTTCTCCATAATTGTGAATAGAAATAGCTTAATGGTGTAAACTATAAGCTGTTTATTATATTAACATTCTTTTAGAATATTGTTAATCCACTCGACCAATAAATAAAGGTATTTTCGTTAAATTTTGGCTTATCGGTCAACCTCGTCTCTTTTCATATACTTTAAATCAATAAAAGTACTAATTAAAATGTTATTCAACAAGAAGTAAGTCTGGCCAGTTTGTTTGAAACTCTGTCATAGTTTGGATGAAGGCTGGAAAGTAATTGTGTTGTAAGCAAAACAGATAATATAATATTATTATTATAAACCATCCATTACAATACCTGTCACTAACAATGAGAATAGATGGTAGTTAATTCCTTTTATTTTTAGGAATAATAATAAAAAGCTAATTGCTTACCTTTGCCACACCAGCAGCAACGATACCGACTCCAATTTCAGATACCAGTTTAACACTAACCACAGCAAATGGATTGGCTGCTTTCAAGTCATAAATGAGCTGGATTCGACCAGTGTTTGGAAAATAAAAGTGGTGTGAAAATTCAATATTCAAGTATAGAAAAATAAACATTATCTTAGTATTGGTTAAAGTTTATACAACGTAATCTAAAGTATATGGTGTGTGCAACATCTTATTTTATTATTGAATATTCAGTCGCCTTTCCATTCCACAGTGAAAACAGAACTCTTTTTAATTCTTGTTACAGATTTCGTCATCGAAGCAATGGGTTAGATTACCTTCTAACACCTATAGATTTTGTTATATGGTGTGATCTGTGTTCAGATCCGTTGAAAAAATATGTAGGCTTATTCTGTCAAAGTGACTCAGTGTACATGTTAAAGATCTCCATTATTTTTCAATATTTAAGTATAGTATACCATAGATATTAAATCTCCACTACTGACTAAAAATCATGATACATTTTCAAGTCCATAAATTGGTTCCAAACCATGAAATCTTCAGCTTAACTGAACGACAATGCTGTTCGAAGAACAAACCTTCACTTTAATAGTTAGTAAAAGTGGCCTTATTTTTATCAACATTAAACATTACCAGATACTGTACAAGTGTATTCAATGATCTAGGTTATGATTGAAATAAATTGCAACAGCCATTTATTAATCATTTTGATAAAAGTCTACTTTCAAAAATTGTAGATGGAAACCTCCTTATTGTTTGTGCAAGAATACTTCTCAGTTTATTTTGAGTAATTTAATCAATTTTCTACTTTACAAGAATTTGGGTAAAATGTATCATTTGTATTAAAGCAAAGGTATGTTTTTTGTCCAAAGTTCTTATTCGTCGCTTTCTACATTCATTCTTTACAGCTGGAGTTAATAAGTAAAGAATATTTATGACTAATTAAAACAAAGAAACAGAATGAAACGTATATTGTAAACAGGGAAATATTTTCTGACATTAATGTCAAGAGGCAGTGTGAATTGAAGAAGAATTCTAAGAATATTATTTGGTAATTCTCTCATAATGAAACCCTACTAATTCGTTTCCGAACACTTAATCAGCAAATAATAGTGGTAACGTGTCTTTTTAAACTGTTAATTTACATAAAATGAAAGACCTTGCTATTGTTTATTGAGATTGGGACCTTCATAAGTCCTGAAACCGGTCCATCATATAGCTTTTTTTGTAATGCGAAAATAATTTGGATTCCTGATTCATTTAAAAAATCGACTATTTTAGTATCAAACATGAATAAAACAAGTGCGTAACTTCACAAGTAGTTAATATGTTGAAGTTACCTTTAGTGTGTTGCCTGATCATTAAAATGCAGTACAGGAAAACCTGTTTATATATGTAAATGTTTACATATTTTCACTTTGACTGAATATAGGAATAATGTATCTTAAAATTTCCCCTGTAAAACTTTGGTCATTCTTGTAACATATTTTGCAAAGATGTAACTACATTATTTCAAGTTTACTTAAAGTAGGACGTATTAAGTGTTATCTATTCCAAATAGATTCAAAATTAAATAAACAAGCAAACTATCAAGCTAAAACTAATATAAATAGTATATACAAGTGGATAAGTTCAGGGTGAAATGGTGACTGTATTACTTTTCAAAGCTCATTGTCAATCATTCTGGCCTTTTGTAAACGCCTACTCAACAACTAGTCTGCAAAATAGGATATTTCTTTTATAGACATTTTGGGACTACTTGATCATTATTTTTCTCCGTTCTGTAACAGAATGAAGCCGCTCAGGAATTCTACTGAACATTTAGTAATCCTTAGTTAAATTCTTTAGGTAATTGATTGTATTTTGGGCTCAAAAATGTTGCGTAATACGTAGGTGTCATATTTTTCACTACTTTATAGTCATCGACTATTTCATTGCTCAATAATTTATGCTTGCTACTAACTATCGACAAGTAATATGATCATTCTGAATTAACATCTTCAGATTTCTCAACAAAAATGTATTAAATGTACTTCAAACGGATAACTACATACGGAAAATTACCTGAGCTAAATCTTCTATTGAATAAATGTCATGATGTGGTGGTGGACTGATCAAACCCACACCAGGCACTGAATAACGTGTATTAGCGATTTCCTCGGTAACTTTATAGCCTGGTAATTCACCACCTTCACCAGGTTTAGCACCTTGAGCCATCTTTATTTGCAGCATTTCAGCATGGGCTAGGTATGAACTATTCACACCGAAACGTCCTGAAGCAACCTGTGATTAAGTAGGACGATGGAAGAAATTAAATTATAAATAGAAATGTTAAAATAGTAAATCTGCACTTATTTTCATTATCATCAGTGCTTATAAGTGGTTTTATGTCAAACCAACTCGGTATATCATGATAAATACACCTAAATACTATCACTTGTTCATTTTGGTATTGGAAATTTAATACTGTAAGCCATGACTTTATTCCGCTGATTCTCCTAAAGGGTGATTTGACCATCAGCTTAACAACAGATGGTTTTCTTTTAATCAACAAAATACTGTTTTATTTGTTTATTTAGTTTTAGGGACAGTTTCTAGTCTGATACTACACGTTAACCGTAGAAAATCTATACCTTCTGTCTCACAATGCATTCAGAATCTGGCCTACCATGCCTGTAGGGATACACGGATAAAAATTCTTTTAAAAATCTATTTCCTTTAAGATTATGATCAAAAAGGGTTTTCGAGTAACAAGATTAGTCTACACATTATTAATGTAGGTAGATGCCCAATGTTATCTACGGACGTGGACTAACTTCAAACTTGTCACATAATCGACGCTATCATTTAGCAGTAGTATTGCATAATATCAATATTACCTGTTCCAAGTATGAGGTATTTTGAACTAACTACATGTACTTTTAATTTCGTTCAGATAAAAATGGTTTGAATTCTATTAGACCTCACTAAGTAAATAACTGTAGTGGTAGGTAGTCAAAGTATTATATCGCTGCGAATTATGTTATATTCAATACGATAGTAAAACATTACAAGATTATTTTGTGACGCAAAACGCTAGAAAAACATTTTCTTGTAATTATATGTAAATGGCTTGTCAGTATTTATTAGTTCATTTAAATAATATTTCTTTTTTAGTTCAGAATACGATCTAAACCAGAAAAAAATAATACATTATAGCATAAATTATTTATTCCTCCTTAGTATACTCTTAGTGTTCGTGTTGTATTTGTTATTGATCCGAAAATAACTATGACAACCACAGTCAAAATGGTTGGTTGACTGAGAGAATAAACTAGACGCTGACTTATGTCTTTTTGTACGTGTCGCATTTGTCTAAAGTTTATTTTCTGAAATAATTTAAAAGAAGTGTCCAATCTGTTGTAATTTACATATTTCACTAATTTTCGTTGAGACATTTGATGTACTGAAGTAATCATGACTGCTTTTACTATACTGTTAGTTGCTATAGCTTAATCAAGCAGCGACAAGGGAATATAGAATTATTAAACTTGATTCTGAACTTAGTTACCTGTAAGAATTGTTTACCAAGTAGTACTTAGTATCTTACCCAAGTCTGTAGTGATTATTGAAATGCTGAGATCAAGTTATATTAGTAACGGAGTACATTGTTATGTTCAATGATGTCAGTGATATATTAAAACTGTATATGAAGTGAAGTCAGTATGTAATAGGAATGAACCTGTCATTGTTTGAAATTTACCTGTTTTATAGCAGAACATATTTCAGGATTCTTATAACGTTCTGGTAGCTCACCTCCTTCACCAGTGTTCGAACGTCCACCAAGTTTATTCATAGCCCTAGCTAAAGCAGTATGAGCTTCTGAAGAAATACTTCCCAAACTCATTGCACCTGTAAAAGATAATTAAAATTTAGTGTGTATGTTGATTTCGTATTAGTTTTGAATGGATGGCAAGCAGTCGATCGTATTTAAACTGAAGACGTGATTATTTAAAAAATAATCTTGAAGCTCAGTTGGTTAAAGATTAGGACTAAGGCTTATATAGTATTCATTCTATCCTGCTGCTATTTATTTAGAATTTAATTATTACTGATGTATAGTATTGAAGCCTATGTAGAAAGGGAGATTGTATTGTTTCTCATAATAGAAATAATATTTAAGATACTTTTCTACTAAATACATGATTCAAAAATATTTCTATTAACAATGAAATAACGTCAAAATAAGTCACAGAAAGACACCACTAAACACAGCGAACTTTGAAAGCATTCTATTAAACTGGAAATACACTAAGACGGTTCAGGGGGAAAATCTCTTTCAACGACGTTATTTACTAGATGTTTACGATCGTATTTTTAGTTGTTTTACTTCCAATATTCTGTTATAAAGTAGAAATGCCGCGTTATTAACAAGGTTATGAATAATGTTCTGAAAATCTCGAGTATTTCAAGTGTTTTACTTCAATGATGTAGCTAGTGAGGTATTCTAACTTACTTTTGTACACAAACATCATCAGTCTCTATCTGAAATTTTTAAAATACTAACCTGTAGAGAAACGTTTTACTATTTCTGCAGCCGATTCCACTAATTCCAACGGTAAAGGCTTTTCCGAATAATTAAAATCTAGCTGTCCACGTAGAGTGCAGTGACGCGAACATTCATCGGCGACTTGGACAAACATTTTGTAAGCCTCATGGCTATTATTACGAGATGCAGCCTGAAGTTAAATATAATAATATAGATATTAGTTGATATAATCACTCTCTGATAAAAATAACTGTGGCTCCTTATTTCTGTAAAGTTGTGCTGAAAACAGTAAATAAAGTACCGTTAACACCGACAGGTAACTCGAGCTAATACCATAAGGTTAAGATTTACACTGTAATCAGAAACACTGTGTTTATCGTCATTGGTTCAATATCAAGTAGTTTTTCTTCACGTTAGTGCAGAAAGTAGCGATAATTAGTTAGTGATAATCTGGTTAGTCCTCATGATTCGTATTCACTTGGTCAACTTTCGTTTTGTATCCCTCGACGTAATAACCCAGAAATTTTGTATCAGCCACTTCTTAGCATAGTAAACAAACAACTAATCAGTATTCTACTCGCCTACCGTTATAAATTTAATAAATAACAAACGTTACAGTTCAGCAATGAACAGTTGTGAATGAAAAATGGTAGCCTATACAATAGAGCCAGTTATAAAGGAGTTATCGAAGTCCCGCAGTTTTAAACAATTGGCAAGATAGGACTTCAAAAAATATGTAAATATTAGTAAAGTAAACGGATAGAAAGGTTGAAATTATTTCAACGCTTAAGATTCGAAGCAAGGTAGACAATACAAACTAATAAAGTGCATTTATCATAATTGGTGTCAAATCCATCACCCAACTCACAATAAAAACCTTCACTGTATACCAGGTTATGGTATTCCGTATGCGTATCACAACAAAAAGCAGACTAAACTTCAGGTTAAGTAAAACTCTATCAAGTGGGTATTTCTTAACCAGTTGACATAACAGACATAAAATAATCTAACTGATAATAAGTCATAACGTCTATTTACTACTCAAATTTCCACAGTGACAAAAGTATAACCACTCTTTTGGACCAGAAAAAATATTTATATTGAACATTTGTGAAAATTAATCGTACTCTTTTACTGAGTAAATAGTTTCTCAAAACACTAAAGTAGACTTTGCACGTCAACTAGTCAATACGCTACCTATCGTTTGCATGTAGTTTTCTCTGACTGAAATGAGCTATTTGGTTACTGTTTTGTGAGTCAAATACATATCATCAATAGATTCAAAGAGTACGTAACCGTGATTATTAAAATTTTCTATATTTAACTTACCTGAAGTTTCGCTATTGCCTCTGGGCTGTTCATATGATTTTCTCCACCAAATCTCCAGTGATAAAATCCAGGATTATTCCCAAACTGACCAAGATTTTCAAGTACTTTAGTACAAAGTGTTTGACATTCTGGAAAGGCTAGTTGGTGACGTGCGGTAACTTCTCTTGCTAATATTTCGAAATCTGCTCCGCCTACACGACTTACGGCGCCACAGAAACACATATCAATCACAGATTGTGCTAAGCCAACAGCTTCAAAGATCTGAGCACTCTTGTAGCTATGCAATGTTGAGATTCCCATTTTAGCCATAACCTACATAGAGATGAATGAAATTATTACCACATCATAACTATTAAGGTCAATAATCAACCAGGTTACCGCTATTATGAAAATTACTATGGTATGTGACATTCAGTGGACAAAACGAGGTGGCTTGATTGGTTTATCCCAAACCCATAACTTAGGCGATACAACGAGCAGGATGAAAAGAGAGTGAATGAATAGTTGTATTAACTGTATGGGAATACACACAAACTGTTAGAAGATAAAATAATGTTTGATCTGTCACATAAGTTAATCTGAAAAGGCTTGACAAATCCGACGCTTCCAAGCCTATTTGCATTTGAAGCTTCTATAAATTCTCATTTGATCCTTTTGGTTTTAGTTACATTTATTTGAATTCTCTAATCACAGTGAGCCCACACCTAATTATCAAAAGTTCAAACATGTACCATAGTTTAACAAGTGATTCTTTATATTGTGTGGTATAAAAATAGCAAAACGTAGTCAGATAAGAAAAGTCACGATACGGAACATTTTTTATACTTACTTTAAGTATACCGCGTTCAACAGATGTTATGAAACTTGAATATAATTCTTCTTCATTCACAACTGTAGCTGATGTTAGAAGACCTTCATAGTTTAAACGTGAGACAGATTCGAAAATCAAGTAAGGACATATTGCATCTGCACCAAAACCAATAAGTGTACAAAAATGATGAACTTCTCTGAAATAGAATAAATAATAATTGAAATTATTATTAATTTTTTATCAGAAGGGGCTTCGTAAAGATTTTAGAAATTTCACTGGTTGAAATCATGAGTCAATTGAAGCTGGACCACCATGGGAAACCTGGAAGCACTGGACGACCGTTTCGTCCTAGTATGGGACTCCTCAGCAGTGCGCATCCACGATCCCGCACCCCGCGAGACTCGAACCCAGGACCTATCAGTCTTGCGCCAAGCGCTTAACCAACTAGACCACTGAGCCGGAATCTAACGGTGTTAATGTCTAACTTCAACCAATCCACGAAGTTGGGCCACCGTACACCACTGTCTTGAGTTGATATCTCACAACAGACTTGGTTTTTTTTGTCGATCTCTGGTCTCAGTAATAGCTTCACTATCTGTTTAATTAAATCTGAAAGCTAATACTTATATTTTACACACGATGTTTTTTTTCTCATAGATGAAGAATAAGATTAATCTAGATAATTCATAAATATTTAATCAAATATCTTTGGTATGATTACCCTATAATGAAGTGTTTATTAGACATATGGTAAAAATCAGACATTTTAACTAATAATATGTAATTGCATTAATATTTCTCTCACCCTATCTGACCCATATTTATTCTGATCATGGATCCCCAAATTTTCACTTAACATATAAGCTGATTCAAGTTAACATTCTATATGAATCATATCAACACTAACAATTTGATTATATTTTGTTTGACAATCCTAAATTCACACGCCATAAACGATGCACTTTACCCTTAACCTGGCCATTTTTCCGATTATTAATTTGGATATATAATTGTAGAACCTGAATGGAATTTATCGAAAAGAATATTCTTCGTTCAAACACTAGTGTTGTAATAAGATGATTAAAATGATTAAAATGTTTTTGTTACGATAATTAAAGGTCATCAAAGGTCATAGAGGTGTAAAAATAAATAAGGTGACATCCTTGTAGAACCAAACTGGGACATGTTCCCGTATCCGAGTTGAAAGCGAGTTGAGCTCAAACCAGAACTATGCGTACAAAAAAGTACGTCTTATCGTTATCGTTACCTTGGCCTTAATTATTATTATTATTATTATTATTATTATTATTATTATTATTCATATTAATTATTACTGAATTTCCCTTTACTTATGTCTTCTATTCTCATAATCTTACTCATAAATGCTCATCATTTCACCTTATTTATTTTTACACCTCTATGACCTTTAATAATATGTGTATCATGCTCAACTTTTTTCTTTGTTGATGGAAGATAACTGATAAAATAATATAATTTTTAAGAGAATAATAAAATTAAAAATTATTATTATCAGAATGGGTTTTGTGGAGATTTTCAGAAATTTCACTGGTTGAAATCGTGAGTCATTTGAAGCTAGACCACCATGGAAAGCCTGGAAGCACTGGACGGCCGTTTCGTCCTGGTATGGGACTCCTCAGCAGTGCGCATCCACGACCCCGCACCTCGCGGGAGGAGTCCCATACCAGGACGAAACGGCCGTCCAGTGCTTCCAGGTTTCCCATGGTGGTCTAGCTTCAATTGACTCATGATTTCAAATTTGTGAAAATTAAAAATGTTGTTAATAGTTATTTAGTTTAATGTACACAACAGTAATGCAATGACTAATTCATGAACTAGTAAGTTTTGATTCATACTAAAGGTTATCTTGGCGGCTTAGCTAACTTAAAAGGTGGAAGTGTTATTGTTACACAATGAGTAGTAAATTCAGTTATTTTGAATCAGGTAACTGAATGATTGTTTTGCTAAAGATTTGGGTTCTCCTAAAAACTACAGTTCATTTGAATGGCTGATAAAGTAAGTCCTTTTAAAACTAATCTTATTCGAGTTATAGTAATATCAATATATACATCACAATGAAGTTTGGTCGATTTGTTTGTATGTCATGTAAAATTACCAAAGACGTGATTAGCAGTACTTCTAGATATACATTTGCACACGACAATTCTGTGGCCTCAGTCACTTAAATATATTCTTTATCCTGTATATTTGTGTTGATTGAAAGTGTAGTATAAATTACGAAAATAATAATCGCAAATCAGTTCAAGTTTATTCATGAACGGAATTTTTGGAAGGATTAAACTTACTTTGATTCACCCGTTTCCGCAATTATACCAACCCTCATACGAAGCTCACGACGAACTAGACGTTGATGTACCGCCCCGACAGCTAACAGTATTGGAACAGGAAGCCGATCTCGACTACTTGCCCTGTCAGAAATTATTAACAAATCCACACTATCATGTAAAACTGCGTTCTCGGCCTTATCACAGAGATCTTGTAGAAAGTGGAACAGTTTTGATCCCAATGAAACTTTTTCAGACCCTTCATGTACAGATAATGTAGCATCCAAAATAACACTACGCCATGAGAGAACAGTACTTGTTATTTTCACATCCTCAGGTTGTGATGGAGGATTGCCTCCTAGTGAACGTAATAAAGCCATATCCTTCAATGATAAAATCGGATTCGCAAGCCATAAACGATGAGTTTGTGCTCTGGATGGAATCAAGATATTTTTCTGTGGTCCGATAGGACACATCTAGAAATTAGTGGAAAAGAGATGGATAAAATTAAACTGTACCTAAATAATCATAAATATGCTGAACTAAAAATTACTTTAAAGTATTCATTAGTAATTTGTTTAACTTCTCGCCTTACAAGAAAGAAGTCTTTTATACATAATTAAACTAAATGAAAATATTAGAAATCCGAAAGATTTTTGTAAACCACAACATTAAATAAGTTAGTAATCTTATGATACTTGAAGGCACCACTAAATATGCGTAGCCTAAAAGACAGTTACTGTCCCATAAGAAATGGGGTATATACCTTGTCTATTTTCTCTCTTACACCAAAATCTGTTATCTAATTTGTAGTTTCCGTTACGGAGACCCAGAAAATTCCTCGGGAAAAAGCCCGGAAAAAAGGCCCTGAAAACGTTGAGAAACATCTTACCCAATCAGCATTCAATAGAAGTTTGCCAGAAACATATAGAAAGTGAAAGGCCACATGTCACATTTCTGATTGAATGATTACCTATACTGCTACGATGTTTTGTAACGTTCCAGAAATTTCCGAAAGCCCGAAGCCATCCGAAATACTATAAATACCCTAGGTTTTTTGTACATAAACAAACCTTGGATTAAGGCGTTTTTCCATATTTCGCGCTTTTCCTCTCGTGTTCAACTAGCCATGTAGATTTAGACAGGGGATTACTAGAAGAGCTTCGGAAACGGGATCTAGAATTCATTTAGAAGATTTATCAATTTCCTCTCAAGACCTTAATCCTAATCAATTTACTAACTCGTATTAACTCAACTCTCATTAGCTTTATTTCTCGCCCTATTAATTTAAATTCATAATCTACTTTGTTACTGTATTTAGCAGAGGTGCTAATGGATTGATTGAATAGCTTTAACCAGTATCTTTTATATGACGGGAAGAAAAGTCAAAATTACATTGATTTACTCATTGTGATCTTTTGTTCAACATTACTTCCTCTTTACTTCAATGTGATAATTACTTTGTGTAGTATTTATTTCGTTTTCCAGTATGATATTTTATTCTGTATGACATACGATATTCTTGTATTCAATTGACATAAACTATGCACAGCATGACATGTAGCATGTGATTTAGTTATAACTGCGAGTATTTTTCATATATATGATTTCATCCTAATCATTAATCAAAATGGATGTACAAATCAATATATAAATTAGTGTATTTTCGAGTAGGGTCGTCGTGTTTCAGGGTTACTAAATCTTCACTTGTATCAGTCTTAGTTTCATGTCGTGTGAATTGCAGTGCCTCCTCGTTTTCGAATGATAAGCGATTCCGACATAATAATCAGCGAAGACCAGATATAGCAATTAGCGTTCCATTAGAAGACTTATTAATCTTCCACTCAAATCCCGCCTTCTGTATAAATTCACTTATTAAATCCTTTTACACATTTTTACTGAAAACTTCCAGTTATTCTCCCGCTTATAGTTTTATTGAAATGTAATATGCTTGTATGTATGTATGTTTATCAGCAGCATACATGTAAGTAGCTGCAGAAAAGAACAGAATGTGAGTACATATTATTATAGTTGATTTCACTGTATGACTGGAGTTTGGTTATATATGTAGTGTTTTCAGAATCTGAATCAAGTTGACCTCGATTCCGATTTGTGTGATAAAAGCACATTCCCATTGAGTTCCGGTTGGCCTTTTTTGGAAGACTGTCGATTTTGAGTTATTTAATTGCACAGGAATTCGTTTTTTTTCAAAATATTATACACTGAGAAGACATCTGGACGATTTAATATTCTATTTAAAAGAATACTTACCAATGTCATTACAATGCGTTCACGAAACGGATCGATAGGAGGATTCGTGACCTGAGCAAATAACTGCTGAAAATAGTCAAATACATGGGGATTTTGTTCAGATAAACAAGCCAGTGGAGCATCATTCCCCATAGATCCTAGAGCTTCTTTGCTGAAACAGAGTAACCATGTTTATATGCTTGAATAAATAAAATGGTTCGGAATTATTAGTTTCAGGAACGATACGATATTTTATAATTGAAGTTATTAATTTCACGGTGTATGAAATTCCAGTTACATAGTTTTATAAGTTAGTTGATACTAATATTATAAATATGTCTTTGTCTTTTGTCAGGTTTTGTCTACAACCAAAGGATTATATGCTTTAAATCAATAATAGTGATGTCATACTCTCATATTTAAGGTTATTTTTGTCGATTGTCACAAAGCGAAAACCAAACAATGAGGTAAACTTATTATCTAAGATTTTATTTACAAGTAAACATTTGTCAGACCGGAATCATAAAGCAAATTCAAAATGCTTTTCGTTCCGTTTATGAATTATCACGAATTACTAGCCTCCCCCCACACATGTTTTCAAGATCTAGATTTATTCGACATTTCATCTTGTGTTTACAAACTCTGGGAGCAACAGTGTATTGTTTGGTAGATGCATAAAACAAAACGCAAAACAGAATTAAAGTTATCACTTAAAACTAAAAAAGGTCACTTTTTCCGCTTTGCTCTTCTATGTTTCATATACTTAAAATCAAATTTGAAAGAATAATGCTGCCCATATGCGTTCGGTAAATCATTAAAAAACTGATCCATCAGTGGATATTAGTAACAAAAGCAAGTTTAAAAAACTGTTCATAATTGGTTTATTTGCTAAGTAAATAAAAAGCAGGATTGTAAATTTCGTTAAATCATTCTGAATTTTCGATTTTTTTTCATAAGTTATAATAGACAAAATGCTATGAATTGTGTTCATTGCGATCGATCGCTTGAATTACTAATGTGGCAGGGTGATAGCTTCTCGCAAACCCTGTTTATTAAAACGAAAAGCTCCCACTGAAGAGATGTCAGGGGACAGAATGGCTTGTCAGTAAATATGTCGATTTATGAAGCAAAACAGTGTTCTCCATAATCACAAGCGGCCACTCTCGGTGCGTTCGAAGTAGAAACCAATAAGAGGAAAGGATATCATGCATTTAACAGTTGGTAAGCTGTATACCTCTTTGTTCAGTAACAAATCACACCCACTTTCACTACTATACACGAAAACTCTAGTGTGTGTCTTTGTGCAAATTAGGCTGAAACTGTTCAGCCTTTAGCATCATAGTCAATTTAGCTCATAAATGTAAAAAAAAAACAGAGAAAGCGAACGAGTAAATTCTCAACATTCCATGATCATTAATCATGGATCAAGTTAGAAACGGAAAACCCTAAGAAATATTCGAATGAAGTTGATACATACATTGACAAACTTTACGTCAGTACATTTCATTATTTTTCTGATAATGCTATATTAAGAGTCGGAGATGGGAATGGAATAGGATTTATTTCAGAAGAAAAGATGCATGAACATCGCTTTTTAAAACAGCTTTGTGTTTTCCTCTACGGAAAAGTAACCAATTGAGTTTTTGATATCTATTTTCACGTATATCACATAATGTAAATGAAACAAACATCACTAATAAAGAATAAGACTGAGGAAAACAATTTAACAGCTATCGATATTACATAGCTAACAAAGATGAATAGATAACCCCTAACTCTTCTGAATCATGTTTAATTCTATGAATAAAAGCTATGTGTATAAGCTATGTATATTTTTTTAAATACATAAATGAAAATAACTTGAATAAACTCACCCAGTTTTCAACATGGGCAAAATTAGAAGATTGATATTTTCTGGATTATACCCAAATAGTGGGAGGCGACGATCGTCAATGATTGAGGGCTCGAGTGTTGAGATTCTCTTATAGTGTTCAGGGGAATTCGCAAAAGCCCTATGCATCTCAGGCAAATCAAGAGCCTATCATCAAAAAACAAACATCAAGGGAAAAAACTTCATAATAATTCTTATAAATGATTTATGGTGAGTTTTGTTTGAGTTGTAAACGTAAGTTTGAATGCAAGGGCTTTTGACAGAAGCCAATATTGGCCAAACAACCAACAGTTGACAGAATAGGAATTAAAAAGTTCTTATAGACTACTAAATTTAATGTATCAATCAAATGCAAACTCATTTACTAAGTATCAGGACCACATTAATTATATGAGGACTAGGAATTAAACTTGAAAAAGATTCCGACGACAATAGACTAGTTGAAATTTCTTTTATTGTCCATCTGCCACATCTTTGTACTTTATGAATTATAAGTTAATCAAATCATCCTTAATACCCGTAAGGGTGAACTACCAATAAAATATCTCATGAACGAAATCCCAAGTCCCCTCACTGACGAGACAGTTTACATAATTCATGCAAACATTTGTGATGTGACCTTAACCGAATTTCTGATGAAGGCCTTCCATGAAAGAGTATATTTGGATTTATGAGTGTCATAAAAGCTTTTCAAAAGTTCCAGGTTGTAATGACATCTTTTTTAATATATTGAGATGAAACACGCTTTAGCACAATGAATTATTCTATTAGCATTACCAGACACAACTTAATATATCACTTTGAACATACATCATGTCTGAAATACCAATAAATGAAAAAACAAAACCCGTAAAGTGCGTTACTACAGTAGTGAACACGAACACCAGCGAGGAACAATCGACTGTATTTAACACAAAATTATAGGACTCGTTAATAAAATATAACAATCATAAAGTAAATGCTTAATTTGCAAAATGTTCCCCAGTTGTCTTAAAATGACCCAGACTTTATTGTTCTTGCATTTTCATACAAATTGCATCCTGCTCCATTCTTAGCTATTCGATCCTCTTGTCTCTCTGCTGCCAGACGTTCTGTTCACGACTAACATCATATACTACTTATGTCAATATAAGTAGCACACACCACACTACTATTGTTAACGAAAAGTTTAAAATTAATGTCCAAAAAGCCTACTGTCTGTCATGTAAAAAGCATACACCACGTTGGTCAAATTTACTTCTGTTTTTCACTCAAATTCAAAATCTTCCAACTGGCTTGATATGTTATGTTTTAATATTAAAGGTTATCTGGTTCTGTAAATTAATTGGATCAGTAGTTTGGGTGTTTAAACACATAACTTTAAAGCAAAATTGAATTTGGAATCACTAGAATTCAAACAAGTTGTGGTTCAAAGCGAGGTAGGTGAAGTGTCCTGTTTATAAGTATACCACACAATTATTAACCTTAAATCGAATCAGTCAATGAACAAACACTCTAAAATATAAGTTCTAAAAAACAGTGCTTTATCATAAATGAACACTGCTTACTCCTTCTTTAAGCCAAACATCATAAGGGTGTTTGGTAGCAATTTTGGATTTTAGTGATTCATCATCTAATAGCTGTCCACTTTCTGTATCGACAATCAATAAACGTCCAGCTTTTAGGCGACCTTTTTGTATGATTTTCACATCAGGTTGTATATCGACTACACCAACTTCACTCGACATATACACCATATCATCACTGGTTGCATAAAAACGAGCTGGGCGAAGACCATTACGATCAAGTATTGCACCAATATAACGTCCATCAGAAAATACAATTAGAGCTGGAAAAAAAATGTACTAGGATAAATGTTGACGTCATTGCGTATTACATAACCTAAACATTGAAATTCAATGGAGATGAACAATTTTGTTTGTACATAATTCATGAAGACATGGATAGTTTGTTGGACTGTTAAAACGGTTCTATTTTTGACAAGAATGAAACTGTGAAAGTCAAAAGACAATAGATAATTTTAAGTAAAAGAAACGATATAAACCAATCAGTAAAATGCAAATAAACACATATTTCATTAAGTTACTACAGAATAGAAACGGTTCTGTAATATCCCAGAGTTTTACTATACGACCTGATGGAAGTCTGTCATCAAATGTGTGGAAGGCTTAAATCATAAACTGATATCCCTTCAAGTTTGATGGAACTCATATTTAGGATGCGGAACTAAAACTTTTAGCACAATTTTCAAAGTCATACAAATGGTGAACATCGACCTGAAGTAATGTAGTTAACGTGAACACAGGTGGGGGCAATAGAATGCATTTGAACACACACTTACTGAACATATTAAAATCTAAGAACTATACAGTAAATACTTCATTCGCAAAATGTCAATCAATCGTCTCACACTTTATTGTTCTTTCGTTTCCACACCAATCATTCTTTGTCCTCGTTCTCTTTTCTTTGAACTTCTTAACCTTCTGCTTCCAGGCACTTCGCTTTCGAACGATGATACATACTACTTATATCTGTCGACATCAGTAGCACATATCTCAGTACTAAGAGAATAAACCACATGTGAAATTATTAGTTTCATCATAGTCTTCAGAGGTCATCAAGGTCGTTACGTATTTCAATGACAGTACCTTTAATTGAAATAACTGATGTAGATAGTTTAAATTTCAACCAGAATTCAAGTTTTCGTTCAATTGTTTGAATCACGTTCAGAAAGCCTCAAACCATAAACACCATATATGTATTCACTTGACTACTTAGTGAATTATTCAGTAGTACTAGTTAAATTGAAAAATTATCAAAAACAATTAAATCTTTTTGTTAAACCTTGGTTAAATATGTGTTATTTGCTTAATTAAAATCTCTTGATCAAATGTCCATGTATACACACGTATGCACATGCCAGTATATAAATTCCATGTTAGAACCTTTAAACGTATTACTTCCTAGAGAACGGAAATATGTCTGAGCAAACAACAAGAGTTATGAGTATCGAACTTCAATCAATGTCATTGACATTCAAAATTCCGCATGGATTTTTAGATAACGATATAAAGGTCTTTATAGGTTGATAAAACAAAACATGAATATAGCCACTCATGACTGCAAGTACAATTACCAAATCTACAATCATAGTTAGGGAAATGATATTGATAAGCTTTAAAATAGAGCCTAATTAATAGTACGTGCAGATCTAAACGACTAAATCACAGTGGGATCTAATATGAGAGGTTATTTGTGTTATCGCCGTAACTTTTAACTTCCTAGAGGTTTCAAAACTTATCATGAAATTCTCCAAAGTAGAAATACTAGCCATAATTTTCGGATCCTCTTTGAAATAAAGATTATATGTAAAATATTCAATGAAGCCAATTAATTTAGTAATAAAACCATTCAATTATGCATGGTAGGGAAGTACCTCATCTCTGTAGTTTTAAATAGTTAAATATGTCACCAAAGCATTTTGAAAGGCATAACACTCAATTAAAATAGAGTGACGACATATATTGAAACAGAAAACTAATGGAATACATGCCTAACAGACAATACTCTCAGACTAGTGGAGCTATAGGGCAAAGTGATATATCGATATTTCAGTGGTAAAACATGTCATTTTAGAAGAGTTGATTATATACTGGCTCAAGAAAACTTTAACTGTAAGATATAATTATCATAAGTTATATCAGATACTGATTGGAAAATCAGTATCTGCTTGATAACTATGTAAACAGACCTTAGCAGATATAAAAGCCATAAGTGTTTGGAACCCGATGTGAATTGTTTGAAAAGAATAGGTGGTAGGCAGAGTTTCGTTAGTGCGATTTATTGTTTCTAAACACAGTTGCTGAGCTGTTACGATTAAAGTCCAGAATACTGACTGACTTCTACTACCATCATTCAGAATAATAGAAATCGAAAGCAAGTACAGATGAATGACAGTTGTTATGAATTAGGACAGTCTATGATCTACGATATCTGTATATAGCAATACCGCGAATAGATCCCACAAAAATCACTGAAAAATCTATCGTTTTTGTGACTTGAGGTTTGGTGTTAATTGCACACATGTTCAGTCAAATTAGAAGGAAAATTAGTTTTTGTGGATTCACTTCTGAAGATAAAAAAGGCCAACAACTAATACAAAATCATTAAAATGAAGATTCATATGGGACCTTATGAGATTGTGCGTTTTGCTGTAAATGTTTTGTAGATTCAGAAATGATCTATTATGCTAAATTTTAATAAATAACTCATATTTTGAGTAGTTCTTAGTTTTAATAGCTATATTTCCGAACATTTTGGTTTTGAACAACATAGACGATGACTATTTTAAACTAAATGTTAGCACTCCTGTTTGGAAACACCATCGCTTCGTTGCCAAACAATACAATCCTCATTGGCTTTTCCTATTTACTGGCATTTAAAAACCGAAGTCCAGTCATTTGATAAATCGAATAAGTGGTAAGTTAATGTGCGGAATCCTGGAAACAGAAAAAGGTAATTGTGTAATAACTTATTTTATAGTTTCCAAACTTCAATTGGTTTGAAGAAAGGTTATATCACATATCACACGAGTAAAATTATAAAATCACATTCAAATGAATTTAATCCTTTTGCTCAAATGAAGCTAAGCTGTTCAGTGCCTCAAGGTTTTAAGTAGCTCTTCACAATATATACTTTACAAAAATGGTTTTGAATAACTTCTAATCATCAGTTCTACTTGACTGTTAAACTGTGAATTTGATTGCTGATCAATATAATCATACTAAATTAGTTTACTTCAGATCTATCTTATAGTGAGATTTATTTGATTCTATAAACAAACAATGTACGTATACATCTTCACTAACATCCAGTCTCAATTAGTGTATGCTTTGTAAAGTGACTATCTCCTCGAAACTATTGAATTTACCAAATCATGCTATTGTACCACTATACTCCATGAAAATATGCCTATTGTTCCTAGGGTAACATTTTCTTGGTGTTGGATTGTAGTATACCTAAATATCATCTCACAGCGCAGAACCGCTTATTTTCCAATATAATATAGTCTTAAGATCTAATACTTTCTATTAGACCCTTCCAGCTACGGTTTGTCAAGATAATTGTTACTATTCAATTTATTGGTCATTACAAATTGGATTAACATATATTTGTTCCGAGCTCTAATTAGTCCATATTTGCCTGTTAGTAGGTACTAAGGTAGAATATACATTATCGTATACTTCTTGTTACATTTTAAATACCAGTACCGTAATGGTTACTTATAATAAGATTTTACAATTTTCTGAACTTTTGTTGATGGTCATTTAAGTTAAAGTCCAATAATACAGTTTTCTACTAAATCCTTTATTATATGTAAAGTATTTTCTAACCAAGAGAGTTGCTCAAGAAAATATGAACTACTATTTGCTAGCTTTTATTTCAGAGATGGATTTGCTTAATTAGGCATAACTCCGCTAACGCGATTTCCTCACGCCTCTAATCATTTAGATAACGAACAGGCTAGGCTGCAGCGAATTCAATACTAGAAACACATCCTCTTGGAATTACACATAATTACCAACATACTTATTAGTCGAGTCAAACACAGTAGGTAGCATCATTCCTATCGCCCTTAGATGAAAGGAAATTACAATCTGCCAATCAGATAGGCGCACAATGATTTATACAACCTAGTAACTAATCAATAATATGTTAAAAATTTTAAATGTCCATAATTCTTAAAATAAAAACAACCGTAATATATGAACAATAAACATCCGACATAAAAGGATAAGTAAATGCATAATAAATGAATGTGCCCATACACACACATACAACATAGATTGTAGTAAACAAACGAGTGACAGAAGCTCATGAAAATAAAAGCAGGAAACTACAGATAATCTGAAAAAGTTTTTTTTTCTCTCCTCAAAGTTTGCAAGTAAATTCTTCATTAAGCCCGTCTAATCCTTCCTCTCCTCTGGAAGACAAGAGAATACATACGCGCACGCTCATTTGTCTACACGTGCATATACTCATAACAAAGATGTATAGATTTCCTAGACAGCAAATAAATGAAACATTTAATAGTGATAGTAGTAGTGATTCGTTCAGGTTCATATACAGTAAAAGGTAGGCAATTCAAATTATTTTGATTATTTCATTACCTAAGCCTAAAGAATAATCAATAAGATTAACAGGAACTACACAAAGCGACCATAGACAACTAAAAATAGCTATCGATTTTAAGTGGGGGCATTATAAATACTCTTAACTATTAATAGGATTAACAAGAAATAAAGCAAAAGCAAATCCGTAAACAACCAAACAATATATATATATATATATATATATATATTGGGAGAGAGGTTGTAACCAGTGAGAAATAATTTATTCAATTTGTATGAAATAATGAAAGAGACTACTAATGAAATGTGTGTAAAAATAATAGAAAATCCATGGAAGAAACCTTATTTCCTTGAAATTCCAACCGTTAATGAATTTTATTGTTTCCTGAAATCAGTTTTTAGGAGTTATAATGCTAAAAACTGATGTTTTACCATTACTACAACAAGTACTACACACGGAAAAATAAAGAGTCCTATCATTCTTAAAAAGGTGATATAAAGAGGTAGGAATAAGGTTGACTGGACTATAAGGTACTGCACATCTGAGGAGAAGCGCGGAATGGACAGCTTGGATGCAACTAGACGATTTGGACTTCTCAGATGACCTAGCTCTTCTACCCTTTACACACAAACAAATGCAGGTCAAGACAGTCGGTGCAACATAACCCTCTGCATCAGTAGGCCTCAACATACACAAGGGAAGAACAAAAATCCTCAAATACAACACACAGAATACCAACTCAATTACACTTGATGAAGAAACTTTGGAAGAGGTGGAAGCTTTCACGTATCTGGTCAGCATCACCTAGGAATAAGGAGAATTGCATGCGGACGTAACGGCACGGTTAGACAAAGTAAGGGCAGCATTCCTACAGTTGAAGAACATATGGAACTCAAAACAACTGTCAACCAATACCAAAGTCAGAATCTTTTATACGAACGTTAAGACAGTTCTGCTGTACAGATCTGAAACTTGAAGAACTACCACAAGCATTATCAAAAAAATGTACAAGTATTCACAAACAGTTTTCTACGCAAGATACTCAATATCCGTTGACCGGATACCATCAACAACAGCCTACTGTGAGAGAAAACAAACCAGCTTTCAACTGAGGAGGAGATTGGGAAAAAGATGTTGGAGGTGGATATGACATACATTACAGAAATCATCGAACTGGATCACGTGGCAAGCTATGACTTGGAATTCTGAAGGGAAACATAAAAGAGGTAGGCCAAAGAACAAATTGCGTTGAGAATTGGATACGGACATGAAAACGATTAACAGCGACTGGAAAGGATTGCTCACGACAGAGTTGGGTGAGGAATGCTGGTAGGAAGCCTATGCTCCTCCACGAGGGGTAACAAGCGTACGTAAGTAAAAGGAGTTCGGTCGTCATAAGTAAACTGATGTTCTTTGTTGCCGAATAAACCATGTGGTGTTTTTTCTCCCTCCTATTATGACTACAAAATATGACTGTTAGGAAAGAGATGTATGTGTAAGTTTAAGTTATTCAGTCACAGATATTTTTAAAGCACTTTGAAATTTTACAGAAGTTCAAAACAAAGTCGCAGAGGAACAGTGTAATTTGGCTGACGAAATTGGAAAACTGGACCGATTGAAACAGTTGTCTTTCGTGTTACATATCCTAAAATGGCGTCTACTTTGGTTTATGAAGCTAGATAAGGTTGAGCTACGTTGCAGAAAAACAAATATTTAGGTAACAAAGACTTGCCACAAGTTGGTAGAATCACTTGTTTTAGAACTGCGTCAAGCTGATAGGTGTAGTCTCTTATAATTGCTAAAAACCAGATGTTAGTGTCCCTAGGAAATGCTTGTTAAAACTGATCATTCTATTTTTATTTGCATTCATTTTCATCTACTCTTAAACCTTGAACATTCGATTTGTTTTACCTACCCAGAAAATCTTTCACTGATGAAACTGTCAACGTATCCTTAGCAAGGATAATGAAAGAAAGAAATCATGGAGTGTAATTAATATTTAAAATTTGTATTATGTTAGTTCATACTTTTCCTCATAAAACTAATCTAAGAACGGATTTGTTTGACTAATACATTAATTTTTTCTTCATCGACAAAGCTGGTCATTATTTGTGTCAAAGATTACGAAATTATAAAGAATAAACTATAGGACTTATAAGTTCTACATATTTAGAAATGTCTGGTCAAAAATTACTGATAATTTGCCTTCAGATAACCAAGACAATGGGCAACTTCAAATGGTGGATTCTAACCTATATACTATCGATTCGGCTAAGTAAGCAATTGTTTAATTATTGATAATAATTTAGTTTTAAATATTACTATCTATTAGGAATAAAAGTTCAGACGTTAGATAGACCGGTAATAGGTCAATGGAAATTAATTGCTAAACGAGAGGGCAGCAATTCGACATAGAATCCTAATACAACTATAGAAGATTCCGTCGCCAACTAAATGGATACTATGAACATTCGAATTAATTAAAACTAGTTTAAAGCTTAAGTCAGACAATTTAGAAAGAACTTATTATCGCTAACTTTTGATTGAAGTCAGTCCTTGAAATCCTTTCCAAATTCAAAATCAGAGGCTAATGATATAAAAAACTAACACACCATCATAAGCATCATATTATCACAAACAGGTAAACGTATTCATTGTAAAGAATTAAGACTTTTGGTGAAGAAAATTTTCTTTTGACTAGATCGTTGTCTTCGGCTGTAAAATTGTATTCAAAGGTAAAATAATGTAGTGTCATAATATTAAGCAAAATGACCAAAGATAGTCGTCACACATTTCCAAGCATAAAGGCAAAAGAAAATTTTTTTCTTTCACACTTATTGAAGAAAATATAAATATATACATCAAACTACTGCAATTCTATAATGATAATACCTCATTAACGTACCAATGAGTAGAATACTTAATCTCTGTCGAGACTTTATACAACGTGCTAATTATTTTAACACTTCATTAGATTGAGCTTAAGATAAGGCTTGAATGTATTACGAATAAAGTTATTGATTTCTACGGAAAAAAAATAATTAAACACCTTTCACACTCATTTATGGTTTGAAATGGAAATGAACAAACAGTGTACACTCAGGATCAAACCAACAATGCTGAAATGAATATGAACGAGGAATTGATTTTTATGAGGAAACTATTTATTACTTTGACTTGGCAACAAAACTCTAATTTATTTATTTTTTTATGAATTCATTAACATTAAATACGAAAACCAATCAAGGATATACTCAATAATCAAAATGAATAGATCAATTTAATCAATAAGTTTTAAAAATCTACAGGCTTATAAAAATAGATATTGATTTACCTGGTCCATCCCAAGGTTCAAAACTATTGGCAGCCCATTTGAAATAATTCCATTTCTCTCTAGATATTTCACCTTTTTCTGGATCTAGATTATGCCACGCTTCAGGAATCATCATCATTACAGCTTCTGGAAGACTGTAGTCACCAGCTTGACACAAGAATTCCATCATGTTGTCAAATGATCCTGAATCAGACATACCTTGTTCAATGATAGGAAATA